GTTAGCAACTCAGTGTCATCTCCATTGAATTGCGACCAAGACATTCCAAACTCCTTCCTCATCTGGCCGCTGCGGGGTGAGCTGTTCTGACTCACAACGTGCACAACGGCTGAGGTCTCACCGCTGCTTCGTTACTGAGACGGCCTTTGGTTAGGAGAGGCGCGTTCCCCCTCCCAAATGATCAGACAGGGGGACGGACCTTGCTGGAGTGCTTGCATGAAGGAATAGAGGATCCCTTAACATTTTTGCCGGGGGAGAGGGTCACAGAGTCTGAGTTTGTGTTGAAGGGATGTGCTTCCTTCCCGAAAAATGCCCAGTCCACAAACAAAATTTGCTTTTACAATTTCAAGGGTTCATGGAATCCCTGTGGGTCTACGTACCCCAAGATAAAAATCTCTGTTGGGGTACAACTCTTGCTGAAGACCAAATGGTTACTCAGGAGAAGCGGAAAGTCTTGAGGGTGGCTAGCACGGCACCCCAAGTAAGTACTGCTGGTTTCCTTGGGATGCTCTGCAGACACTCAGCGCTTCCCCAGACTTGCCCTGATCCCCGCTCCTGTGCGGCTGCCCGGGCCCCGAAGCCCTGGAATCTCCCGGGTTCTCTCCACCACACTTGGCGCTGACTGGGATGCAGGCTCGGGGGCCCCTTTCCAGTCCCTGCAGCACCTGAGCTTCGGGTCCGTCAGCCCGGATTAAAACTTCGGTCTCTCGTGTCCTGTCTCTCTTGGGTCCACCTGCTCACCTGTGCTTTGTTTCAAAGCCCTGATTTATTTATTTATTTATTTTTAAATTTAAATTTTATTTTTATATTTCCCATACAATTGCAACCCCCTTATTTTGACCCCAACCCCTCCTTTCCCTGCCCCCCATCCCCCATAGAGTGTCTCTGGTTCATAGTTGTTTGTTGATTTTGATATTTTCTTTCTTATAGTTGTTCATTTTCCTGGTCCCTTATTTAAGTTTTCTGGATTCCTGCTATGAGTGAGACCATCCGGGATTTTTCTTTTTCTTTCTGGCTTATTTCACTGAGCATGATCCCTTCCAGCGCCATCCACGTTGCTGCAAATTGCATGAGTTTATCTTTATTGATGGCTGAGTAATATTCCATGGTGTATATGGACCACGTCTTCTTGATCCAGTGGCCAGCAGGCATATGAAAATATGTTCACCATCACTTGTCACCAGGGAAATGCAAAGCAAAACTTACACCAGTGAGAATGGCACATATTGAAAAAACTAGCAACAACAAATGCTGGCGAGGGTGTGGAGAAAAGGGAACTCTCCTGCCCTGCTGGTGGGAGTGCAAACTGGTCCCACCACGATGGAGAGCTGTGTGGAGATTTCTGGACCTACTAAACAAAGAGCTTCCACAGGATCCAGCAATTCCACTCCTGGGTGTTTACCCCAAGGACACAGAAACACCAACTCCGAAGGGCACCTGCACCCCGTGTTTGGAGCAGCACTGCTCACAAGAGCTCAGCTCTGGGAACAGCCCAAAGCCCTGATTTAGCTGAGCGGCTCCTCCCCGGCCCCTGGAAGGACCCCCGGCTGGAAGGTCCCCGGGGCAATCGAGGCGGTTCTGTCCAGACCGTCACACTCGCGCCCTGGCACCGCCCATGGCAGCCGAGGGCCCGGGTCTCAGGGGCGCCCCCCGTGCCCACGCCCGCTGTAGGGGGGTGCGCCCCGCTGTGGTCTGGGGCGCGCGCGGTGAGGCGCGGTGGGGGGCGGCCGCGCCTGCGAAGGCGGTGACACGCGGGGCGCAGTGACCGCGCCCTCCTTGGAACGGCCTCACCCCCCAACACAGCATCTGGTTTGGGGGGCTCCAGGGATGGGGCTCACAGGAGGCAGCGCGGGGTCGCGGGGTCTCACGCCCCGCGTGGACGGGCGCCCCCGGCTGGTAACTGGCCACCCCGGGCGCCAGTTCGCGGGGATGAGACGGGAAATTGGGGGCCCGTTCCTCCGCGGGGTGCGCCCCTGGCCGGTCTCGCCCCCGCGGCGCACGCGCCCTGTCGGGACGGGCCTGCGGGGGCGTCGCGGGGGCCCCCTCGTCCTGGCTGACCCCTTCGGGCGCAGCCCTCGCCACCCCGGCTGAGGACGGACCCCAGAACCAGCTCGGGGCCCGGCTTCGTTTAGAGACTCACCCGCGCTGCTGCTTTTCCTGCCACCCCCACACCCCGAAAGCGTTTCCGCCAAACTCCACTGATTGCTCCAGAACTAGTCCATGAAACGGAACAGCGTCGGGCGGACGCCCGTGTGACGTGTCCCTGACGTAAACTCTGTGCGCTGAAGGGCACGGCAGGTGCCCGTGACGTGATCCCCACAGGGGCGGGGGGGGCGCCCTCCACTCACCCGCGCGCGCGCGACACCCCGACCCACTCCCTGAGGAAACTTCAACTTAGTAATGGAAACACAGCGGACGGGGAGGGGGGCGCCGCCCCGCGCCCTCAGGACCCCGGAACCGCAAATCCCGGGCTCCCCACGGGAGGCGGCAGGCCCTGAGGTGGCGTCAGCAGCCATTTTCTCTGTTTGTGAATAAAACCAGCCCTTTTCGTGGGTCCCGGGCACCTGCCTCGCGCTCCTGGCCAGGCAGCTTTGGGCTTGGCCGGTCATTTGGGATCAGGCGGAGGGTAGGACGCCTTTCAGAATGTATCTCCCTCTTTCTGGGTTGTACAGCTCCCCATGTCCCTTCCCTTGGAAATAAGCCTTTCCCGTGGGCCTGCAGTGTGCGTCCCCTTGAAGCGCGCAGGTGAGGGCCCACCCTCAGGCAACCCGTTCTACATGGGGGCTGCCCTGGAACGTGGCTACTGAGGGAGCCTGCACGCTGCCCATCAGGGAGCGACGGCTCAGGGAGCAGGGAAGGGATCGAACAGGCTTCCGTGATGGGCACGATGTGCTGAGTTGGCTTGTGCTGGAGCCAAAGTGAAAAAAAATATGAGCTCTTTCCTTAGAGAAGAGTGTGGTGGGTTTTCAGAGACCGTGGCCTGACCCTTGACCGCCTCGGTCTCAGGGGCTCTCCCCAGCAGTCCTCTTGTGGCTGCCGGATGGCTGCATCCCCGTGCACAAATCCAGCTCTGTCCCTGGGTTCTGCACTCACCTCCCGGTTACCCTCTGACCAGGACATGAGGACACGCACTTGGCCTTTCTTGTCTAGAGCTGGACCCACAGCCTGTGTCCCCGGCTCTGAGCGTGTCGCTACCTCCCTCCATCGACACCCGGCAAGTGACTTGCGTTTGTCCTATTTTGCACAGGCGGGTGAATTCCTATTTTGAAATTTTCTTGTTTTAATATACGTCATTCCCAGAGCCCACAGGTAATTTGTGGGGGGCCCATGAGCAGATGCATTTGAACCTCTTTTCCCTGACTAGATCTCTGGAGATGCTGGATTCCCTGGCCAAGCTTACCATTTTTCCTTTGTTAACACACCCCCGAGCTAAAGAAGCTTTAATAGTGTTTCTTTTTCCATATGGAAACTCAGGAGCTATCATGGGGGGTCATTTTGCTCTTTGCGTTGGGCGGGTGCTTTATTTACTCAATAAACATTTGTTGCACTTTTTGCTTCATACCCAGGTAAGCAACTTTTCCCCACGGCTGATGCTTAATTTTTTTCTTTAAATTTCTTTTTGTTAAAAAAAGGACTCTTTCTCCCACTGCTTTGTTTCTACATGTTAAAATAACGAAACCAGGTAAAGAGAGGATAGTTCAGGTTGTGTCTCTTCCGAGCCATCTTCCCTGGAGGCTGCTCACAGCAGGTGTAGGCAGGTGGGACCGTGTTGTCTGCAGAGGCTGGGAAATTCTCTCTGGTTAAGTAGCAGCACCGTCCAGACTAGCGATCCGCTCTTTAACATCTAGGGTTCTGCTTGCTGCCCTCAAGAAGAACTTTTACCTTTACAGGAAGAAAATCCTTTCTGAACATGTGAATGACAGATTTCACTTGGAAGCAAGAGAAACCAGCGGCGGCTGAGGTAAGCAGAAAGAGTTTTGATGAGAGGCTAAAGGAGCTCCTGCTCACAGGAGGTGATTCCAGAACAGTTGCCTCTTGACACTTCTCTAAATCACAACAAAGAACATTAAAAAACTCGGGTGCAAGAGAACAAGAGGGGTGACTACAGCAACCAAGGTGTGGAAGATACAAAGGAGGCAAAAGGGGACATTTTTAGCAGCAGGAGAGAGTTGAATTCCAAGCTGGAAAACTGACTTGCACTAAAGGTGCTTCTCAAAAGCTCAGCAATTGATGGTACCTGGCACTTTGTGAGGTGAGGCTGAACCAGAGATTTACAGATATAAGCAGTGTTAGGTCCTAAAACTTTTTTTCAAATGTGTTTTGCAACCATCCCAGGCCAGGTAGGTTCTAGTGATTTGAAGGAGAATTGTGGGGCTCCTGGCATCATTGGCACAGGTTTGAATGCTGCCCGGGGGAACAGGCGGCAGGGAGACAACAGGGCACCCCTGCGCCTCCTTTCCCTGGCCTCTCTGCCTTGTCCTCTCATAGCCTCGCTAGTCCTCGCAGCTGCTCTGCTGCAGGCGTCTCTGAGTGATGCCGCCCTCATAGCCCTGCCCTCGGGGCTCAGGTGTGCACTTGCACACGCGCACACACCACGCTCAGGTGTCCATGGTCAGGCTCGCTGCCCCACGCCACGAGCCTTCCGCGTAGTACAGGTGACGGCCACAGAGGCCAGGCCGTAAAGCCAGGCGGACTTCACGGACCCTCCAGAGGGCTATACGACCAGGCGACTGTCTCCTCCCTGGCTCCAGCAGGAGGCGAGAGCTCTAGGCGCACCGACGGGAATAAAGTTGGTGCCTTTCAATGACTTAGTTCAATGTTATTCCACCATGTCTGGGGAAAACATTTCCTTGAAAAGGTGTTTTTTTCTTCATTCATTGGTTCATATTTAAAAATATTTACACACAAAACCCAAAGCTTAATGAGGAAATGCTAAAATAAACATACCCAGCACATTCCTGGAACAGAATCCCATAAAGCAAAAATGGAATCCCAAAATGGAAAGGAAACGCCTGTAATATGTTACTATCCGGACGACTCTCAGCAAGAGCCAGATACAAAATCAACACAGAGCCCGTTTACAGAACGTTGAAGCCGCAGGCAAACCCAGCCACAGGTGCTAATCCTCAGGCTCTTGATTTACTTTGGAGAGACACGCCCGTAGCTTCTGGGCTGCGGGGGTGAGTGATCTCTTGATCCGGGTGGTGGATGCGTGAGCACGTCACTTGGTGAGAACTCTGACATGAATGATTTGTGCACTTTTCTGTGTATATTTGACACCTCCAGTAGTTTTCCTCTCTTCAATTAAACGTCAACTTTTAATTCCACATCTCATCAATATTCAATCTCATCAATATTCAGTCTTATCAACATTCATTGCTGATACAATTTTATAAAACTCTGAGGTACTGCTGGATTTCAAGAGTTAGCCTTTTCTTTCTCCAGTTTGGAGAAAAAACCTCAGCGCATCGGGGAATTCTGAATGCTGTGATTCTATACCTACAGACGGCATTTCACTTTATCCACGTAAAACCGAAGGGCAGCTTGGCAAGGTTTAACTAGGACAGGAAAAAAACCCATCTCAAAGGGAAGATCTGTCTGATGTGTGTCCAGCAGGATGGGATTCTCCCGGCCTCCCAACCCCCTGGGCTGCCACGCAGGGGTCACCAAAGCATGTCCCTGAAAAACCCACGGTTTCATGGGGAAGGCCCCATACACCGGGCCTCGTTTCCAGATTCACCAATAAAAACGCGAGATCCAGCAGTTTTGCAGAGGAGAGGGCTTCACCTTCGGTCACGCCACTCACCCCTCTGGGCCGGGCAAGCGGCGGTCAGGGACGGACACGCCGTGGAGAGGCACAGCAGGCCGGAAGCAGACAAAGGAGCCAGAACTATCTTATTTATTAGAAAGATACACCGCGGGGAGCAGACCTGACGGCGGAAGCCTGGAACGGTACATGCCGAGTGTACAGTCCTATACATAAAAGTGCATCGTCACAACAGAGGAACAAACATTGTTTTCTTCCAGAACCGTGAAAGCGTCCCCTGTGTTGTCACCTCCCGGCGGCGGGGATGGAATGGGGAGAGGCGGCGCAGAGCCGGGGCGCACAGGACGGCAGTCGCAGCACGTGAGCCGGGGGGTGGCATGTGGGGCGGGGGTGCGGGGTGGGGGACGGGCTGGAAAGGCACAGTCACGGCTACAGGAAAACGAGACAGTCTGATGAGCGACAAGGATGCAGGACGGACAGAACTGAGCACTGAGGCACAGAGAGGCGGGGAGGGAAGCAGCTGGGGAGGGGAGGGAAGTTCACAAACACCCAAGGGGGGCAGCAGGGGTCGGGGCAGGGAGGAGGGCGCAGGGCAGGAGCAAGGCGAAGACTCCTAAGATAGAAAGGCACTTGCACGTGTACATACTACGCATGTACATCGACACGGTAGGGAACAGTCACAAGCAGGAAGCCACCAGAACTGCAACTGATCAGAACGACAGGAGGGGACAATACTGACTTCATCACCGGGCAGGAGCTACCCTTCCGTCCGCAGGGACATCGAGTCTCTCCCGTGACACAGCCACTGACGACACTTCAGACATCTAGAGCGACCATCGCACTACACACCGGACTTGGCCGAATGCTCTACGGGGCATTCACAAACGCACGGCTGATATATTTTCTTTTACTAAACAGTTTCTAAGATAAGCATTATGGAACCCAGTACAATTATTTAAACATACAAAATTCCCTAGTAATTTAAAGATACAGGTACCCAACTCGATTATACCACAGACTAGTTTTTTAAAAAAGTATGCTAGGGTAAGTGAAAGCTCAATTTCCAGTTGTTTTACTGAACAAAACTCTGTCAACGTCACCCCAGCCCAGCTGGAGGTTGGTTTTCAGCTCAGGGACGGTCTGGAACAAGGAGCTTTATGTACACGAGGGTAGAGTCTTCACTTCCAGGATGCTCCAGCGGCTCAGGGCTCTGGGGTGGGGGACTCAGAGTTAGACTCGACCCCAAGGGCATTTCCTGCACTCGCGGCCTCTAGCGTGGCCAAGAAAAAACAAGGGTCACCTCAGACCCTAAGTGTTCTGGCCCTCTCAGCAGACCCACATGCTTTTCAGCAGAGGCTGTGGTGACCTGTTAACGGTTCCTCAGCAGGCAGACCCCAGAGTCTGTATGACAATCCTGAACGCCAAGGAGACCCCTACTCCACCACCCCACTTTCCTTTTCCCTAAGTAAATTACGCATCCGCCTGGGGGAACGGCCAAAGTACAAGGACAGAAAACTCTTCACTGATTTGGTTTGGGCCTTGCTGCTGGGCAGCCATGGACGACTGTCCGCGCACTGCAGGTCAGTGGGGCCGAGCCCGGGGCCCCAGAGGCGGGTTGCGGTGTGTAAAATGTGCACAGCTCCCGACCACGGTGTTGAGACTGAGCGTGAACACAGCGGTCTGTAAAGGGTCATTTAGGAGTTTGAACTGAATGTTAGAGAATGTTCATCCGAAAATGTGCACGAATGACCTTTCACTCCGTCCTCCCGCTCCACTCCTAGAAGGCCTCAGCCAGGCCACTCCACACGGCTCCTGTGGTGAGGCCGGGCGGGACCCGCCGCTGCAGAAGCGTGAGCACACACGCTGGTGGAGGGGGAGCCGGGGGGCTTGGCAGAGCCGTCACTCACCCTCCCGCGAGATGGTCCTTCCCAAGCTGCACACCCGGACTGAGAAGATCCTTGAACCGGGGGGCAAAGCAAAAGCAACCCAGGGACTCATTTTCTTTCCTCTCTCCTGTCCCTGGCGCCTTCCCATCCCCCCGCTACGCGCTACACCTGTGGCTGTAAAAAAAAAAAAAAAAAAAAAAAGGGCCACGCGGGCACCAGGTGATCCCGCTCAGCTGCTGAAGCTTTTTCAGAACTTACTGAGGAGTTTGGGTTTTTGGTGAAGTGGTCGCCTTGTCTTAACCCTAGAATCTTAAGACTTTACTAAACAGAGTGAGAGAGACACATGACTCCTTCCTTTCTCTGACGTCACAACCCTTCCTGGAAATTGCAAAATAAAATCAGCCAAACACACAAAAACCCTAACAAACAAAAAACAAACCTCAGGAGCATGGGGGGCAGAGCTGGCTGCAGCAGCAGGGGCCGGGCTGCGAGGTGCTGATCCTGAAGAAGGCACAGCCTCTGAGGCTCTGGGGGCTGCAGCAGCGTGCGCCTGCCGTTGAGGCGGCACAGCCCTGACCCGGGGTGGGTGGCGAGGCGGTCCCTGCAGGCGCAGACACCCTCAGGAGAGACGCTGAGCAGCTCCCAGGGAGAGGTCTGGAGAGATGAGCTACCGACGATGTGAGAAGCTAAGTTAAAGCTTGCGGAAGAACCCCCCAAGATGACTAAATCCAAACCTCTGCCGTTTGGATCCTGCCTGTTTAACATCTTACTCCCCCATCAAAGGTGGAAAATGATTTTTAGGAGTCCTTTTCACTTTAGCTTTTCTAAAAGATTTGTCCCCTCCTCCCCCACCCCCACTGCTCCACCTTTATTTTCTGCTTGTCTCCCCATCCAACAACAGAGAATGAGAAAGTGGGATCCAGAAAGAACTGGGAGATTGTTCAGGAGAATTTAAGTGTCTCGGACTTTGGGGCGATTGTTTACAGGGTTAGCAACAGTCAACGCGCAGTCCTGGCGGGCTCGCCGTGGCACCCACAGGCGTCGAGGACCACGATCTCCCAGGAAAAGTGGTGAGGCTTGCACGCGGCGCTGAGCTGGGGCTTTTCCCCAAAATGCACAGAAAGAATCACTCTGAAAATTCAGGTTTAAGAGTTCACCACCCCTGGAAATACTCAGGAAAATAAATTTCTATGCAACCCATTTGTGAGACAGGCAGCGGGCCAGGGTGTGGCTCTGAAAGGAGGCGGCGTTTCATGGATTTAATCTCTCTCTGCAATAGAATGATTCGACGGCAAACTGAGGTAGAGATCAGAGTCAGGGTGTTGAATTTCAGTCCATCCTTTCCCACGAGATACATTCACGGAGGGGCTGAGAAATGAGTCTGTGCTGTGTCTTTCAGGTGGGCGTGCACCTGGCTGCCAGTTTGGAACCAGACCTGGAGGGAAAACGGCGGAGTCCAGAGGGGTGGGTCCTGGGCCGCCCGTTCTTCTTTGTTCAGAAAGTCTCTTCATCAGTAAGTCCCATGATAAAGTAACCAAAAATGCTCACAGCGTTACCGATGACGCAAGCGGCTGCTGGCAGAGGGTGTGGCTTGTACCTTAGTAAAAACAACTGAGTTCAAAGCAACCTTTTTAAGATAGAGAGAAAACAGAGCATTTAAGTAGGAGCTACAGCAAGATGATCATGAGCTAGAACGTCCGAGAAAGAGTGGCCCTGCGGGGCCCGGTGATGCGAGTTGTGTAGAGACCGTGTGAAAAAAGAACAGCGTTGGGAGAAAATCCCCCTGGAATCACAGGGGAGCCCTGCAGCCGAGCCGGGAACACCCCTCACTCCAGCACCACGCCGTCCCGAGTGGGCAGAGGCGAGGACAGCTGGGCCGCATCTGGGCCATCAGGCTCCGTGGGGCGGGCAGGGCCTGCGGTCACATGGTCGGAAGAGAAGGCTGAGGGAACCGAGGCCTGGTGTGCTCTTGCGTCTCTGTTTCCATAGAGGGGAGCACGAGGGCGGGGGGGCGCGAGACCCAGTCCCTAGGCAGCTTCTGAACAGCAGATGTCTGAAGTTTCGAGCAGGGTATTCCCAGCGCCGTCCAGGTCAGGCTGTTCTGATCCTTCTGGGAGCAGGGCGGCCTGGAGACCTTCTGGGCCTGATCAGGCTGTGGTGGAGCCACACGAGTAGCTCCGGGGAGCTCTCCTGCCACTGCGTCTTGACCCTGGACCCAGGGAAACGATTCCATGAAAGAGGAAATTGCTCCAGCGCGCGGCCGGGGACACCGCACAGCGGCCACTGCGGGGTCTTAAGCATGAGCGGGACGCGCCCCCATATGGGGTTGAGGTGCTGCCAGCGAGCGACCGTGCATTTGTCACTAGTCAGTCCCAGCCCAGAGGGCCGCAGACACGCGGGTCACGCTCCGGCCGGCCGCGATCAGGCCCCTGAGCCGTCGAGCCCGCGCTCCCGCGCCTGGCTCGGAAGCTCTGTGCGCCGGGAGGGCAGTGTTGCCTTCATGACAAATGGTGCAGCATTGGATTTTCAAGTAAGTCTAAGTGTTTCTATTGTCTTTGAAATGACATACGCTATGTCCAGTTCTTAAAAAAAAAAAAAATTACAAAATACAAATGCCGTGTTACGTGGCCAGTCTCAGACGTTACATTCGAGAACACAGAAAAGCCAAAAGGTCTCCAGTTATAAGCACAAACTAGGGGACACTGTGGGTCAGTGACCTTTGTCACCGACCCGTCCTCGCCTCGATCACCTCCGGGTGGCCTCGCGCAGGTGGCTACATGGTGCCAGACTTGTCTGCGGGGCCCTGGGCGGGCGGGGCGGGCCCCATTGTGGGGTTTGTTTTTGGGAGAACAGCAGGTTTCGGCCGCAGGGCCGGGGGCTTGAGCTGCACACCCATCCTGGGCGCCACCGCCGGCTTGAAAGTGCTCATGGTGTCGCTGCAGGAGCTGGTGCTGCGGCGAATCTGGGGCTCTGAGCCCCTGAGGGCCACGTTGTGCAAAGGGCTGAGCGATTCCGTGGAGGTGGCCGGGGTGGGAGAATTCTTCACTTGCTCCAGAGTGTCCAGCACCACGTCGGGGGCGTGCTTGGCCGTGCTCTGCCTCTCCAGTTCCCGGAGCTCGTTCAAGGCCGAGTTCATCGTCTCTTCGATGTCCTGTGGGAAACCATCAACAGGAGAGAACAGGCCGATCGTGAACACGGACACACACTGGGTACAAACACAGCCCGCGCAACCCAGACGCTTCATTTTTAAGGCCAGCAGGCCGGCAAGACCGTGCGTGTTAACGTTACAGCGGCTGGCGTGTAACACAACGTTGTTACACACACGTTGTTCTGCCTGCACACACATTGTTCTGACGCAGCGTTCAGGAAGCCAAGATGCAGGAGAACCGGATGCCAACTTTTTGCCATTCCTAAACACCGGTCTCCTTCTGGTAGTTTCTACCTTAGATATTGACGTGTGATGTGGAATTCTGTTTCGACCCCTGGGAGAGACAGCCGAACTCTAATAGAGCAATTTCTTAAGAAATGAATGTGAATAGGAACAAAACATCAGACTTTCCCCATTCACTCAACAGGTGAGTTTTGAACACTCGCTATGGACGTGGCGAACTCGTAGCCGTTCTTTAAAATTCAGCTGACGCCTCCCCTGATCGTCTTGCCCGGTGATCTCAATGGAAGCCCTCGGCATAGATGTGTGTTTTCAAATGTCACAATTATGGGGTGGCTTCACTGGCATGTGGTGGGCAGGCGCAGACCAACTAGAGAGCTGGAGACTGCGCTGAACAGGTTATGTGCAATGACTTGTCCTGCATCTTGTTCAACTTTTGAATGTTCCCCAGATATTATGTAGGTGAAAATTCTGTTTATGATGACCAGAGCTCAGAAACAAACTTTTTCTTATATATAAACGCAAAACATACTTTTTATGTAGCTCGGTTTCTAGGGATGCAACTATCACGCAAATGATACTTTATTTTGTTTAGAACTGTAGGACCAAGGTTTGCCCACCTTCCCCATTACGAATGCTACCCACGGAATGCGAGCTAAGACTAACTTAATACTCTCAGATCAATGTGCATTTTCACTTGTATTTATGGAAATCCTACATGGAGGTGAAAGCCTTTCCTACTTCTTTTTTCTTCTAATGTAGTCAAGTATTCACTAAATACATTGTGTTGTTTTAATTATGTTTCCTTATGTTTAGAGCTTCATGTGTTAAGCAAGTCAAAAAAGACAAATGCTGTGTGGTTCCCCTTTGATGAGGCGTCACACTCACAGCAGCAGAAGCAGAATGGTGGTGGCCCGGACACAGAGTTTCAGTTTTATGATAGAAATAGGTTTTGGAGATCTGTTTCACAGGTAAATATGTTTTACTGAATTGTGCACTTAAAACTGGTTAAGCTGGTAAATTTATGTTATGGTATTTATTTATTTATTTATTCATTCATTCATTCATTCATTCATTCATTTATTTATACAAGCACTGGGTACAGTCAGAAGCGCGGGAGGGTGAGAGAATTCACCAGAGCCAGAGCGGGGAGCAGAGCAGGCAGAAGGACCGAAGGACACTGCTGAGGGGAGCAGCGGGCGGCAGGAGAGGTCTGCGCGCCATGCGGGACCCTCCTCCGGTGGCCGGGGAGCAGCCGGGGATCGAACCGGCGCCGCAGAGGCCGCGGGCAGCGTCACAACTCAGCGCTCAACTGCTGCGCCACCGGGGAGGCCCTATGTTATGGTTTTTAACACACACACACACACACAGAGTACTGTGTGAGGCGGGATGGATGGAGAGTGTCTTCCCTGATCTCACTAAAATGTCTCCTCTCTTCATTCTCAGGGATCCCCCCACTTACCTAGAGCATAACCCTCTGGCGCTGCAAATGGCAACTGATTTCCGTATCCACGCCCCCACCTGAGCTGCAAGCACCTCAGGTATCACCTGGATGGTTTGGATTTTGTATCCACAAAGCTTAGCCTGGGACCTGGCATACAGTAAGTGCTCAATCAAGGCTTGCTACGTGAATAAAGGTGGGCACGGTCACACATTGCCGGGTGGAGGACAGCATCAACAGGGAGTGCACTGATTTGTTTGATAAAAGAATTGACATTTTTTTGTTTTGTATGAACAAGATGGCAGGTTTACTTGTCCTCAAGGGAAAATCTGAAGACAAAAGATGAAGCTGTCTGCAGCCTCTGCAGCACGAGTTCCATCCCCGGCCAGGGAGCTACCCACAGGGCGCAGCAGACCTCTCCTGTCTCCCCCTGCTCCCCTCAGCAGTGGATCTACCTGTTCTGCTCCCCACTCTGTTTCTGGGGAATCCTCTCACCCCGCACCTCTGGCCTGCACCCCAGCTCTTGTATGCATAAATAAGTAAATCTTTTTAAAAATTGCTTTACTTTTAGTTTGTTAATTCCAATCATTAGCCGTGCGCCAGCACCCTTGCGTGCAATCACTTTTCCGAAGGGCAGACACAGATACTTTCGGAAGTGACGCAGGATTCAGGCTCCTTCTTACTCTAATCGCTGCCCGTTACCATCACGCTGTTGCTGACTGACTCATCGCTTCCCAAGTGGAGCGTATCATCTCCATCGCGTACTGAGATTTTTGTTTCACGGCTTTCCATTTCCCATCAGTTTGTCTATTTTACTATATTTAGCTCGAATTTGACAGGTGGGGCTCTTTCCTCCTCACTAGCCTTTGTTTCCCGGCTATTCGGAGACGATGGGTCTGACTGTCTGGGCCCACGTTTCTGCCACGTGTCTGTTTAAGTCAATAGGAACAAATGGTTATTCCAGGGGGAGCCAAAGTCAGCCTGGGGGCGCGGAAGTTGCCTCTCTCTTTCCTCTAGTAGCTTCTAGGTCGACTAGAATCTAGTAGATCTGCACACGCCCCTTTGCGACCCCCAGGTACTGAGCCCGCCCTGCCGCACCCCAAGGGCTCACCTGAGCGATGGACTCCGGGTCCAGTGGCTTGTGGTCATTGAAGCCCGTGTACTGGCCCGAGGACGTGGACCTCCTCATGGGAGGGCTGTCGGTCTTCTTGAGCGAGTCGTGCCGGCTGATGTTGGTCAGGCTGCCATGGCCCGGCCGGCGCCTCCTCTCGGGACTGTCGCTGTTGAGGCCGCGGTTCTGCAGGAGGCCCCGGGGGTGGCTGGCCAGGCTCGGGGACCCCAGGTCAACTGAGGAGTTGGAGAGGGCATGAGGGGGGTGCAGAGGGCAGTGGCTGTCACTGGTCCTGCCAGGACGCCTCGCTGGAGGGGGCGGGTCGCCTCGTTTTCTTTGCCTGGAGAGAGAGAGAGAGAGAGCGCGCAGGGAGGCTCGAGACACTGCATGACACACAGGACTGAGGACGCCACGGTTCCGCGCAGCCCTGGAGAGGCACGGCCCCTGCCCGAGCCCCACACCCCACACACCTGGCCACGCAGCCGTCGGGATGGCGGTCCGTGGGGGAGCTCAGGTCCTTGAATGAGGCCTTGTCCTCAGCGACCGGCCCGCTGCTGGCCTCGCTGTCGGCCTTCTGGCTCAGAGTGTCTGAAAATGTGTCGTCCCTGCAACAGGAGAACGGGGTGAGGGGGCAGCACTCGCGGGCCGGGCCGAAGCGTCAGGGCGACCTCTGCGAGGGTGAGGCCTCTCCTGCTAACACAGCTCCCTTCTGATTGTTGTTACAACGGTGCAATCAACCGGGAAGCTCAGCTACATGGAAAAGAAGGAAACACCCCTCGCTCACACAGGGACGTGACATCCGGGACCAGCACCGCTGGCATTCTAGAACACGTCCCTGCACACCTGCGCCTGGACACACGCGTGTGCTCGTCGCGCCACAGGGGGGTGAGCACAGGCACAGGGGGCCTTGGGCTGGGAGGCGCACTTTCTGGCATTTCTCAATCAGGCAGAAGCCTCCGCTCTCCTTCCCCTGGGGCGGTTGCGGGGGGGGGGGGGGCCCCCCCAGGCCGAGGCCCGCGGGGAGCGCTGTGCTCCAGGCCGCGCACTCCCTGGCCGCCGCGTGGCGCCCCCCTTCTCTTTCACATTTTTGAAATGAGGGCAACAAGGCTTTCTCCTGGGGGAGGTGGGGGGAAGGAGCCTGGGGTGGAGGCGCGTCCTGGGCTTCTGGCAGCTTTTCCCCTTTTCCGAATCTCAACGGAAGAAGCAGCTCCTGCTGCTGCCGCCTCTGCGGAGGCTGCTTCCCTGGGAGCCTGGGGTCACACCGGGCCCTGCCCCAACCTCCTGCTAGAATCTGGGAGTGACACCCGCTGGCCCTGAGGTGCTGCGGAGACCCCTCGGGGATGAAGAGCCACCGGCCGGGCCCCTCTCCACGCGCCCCTTGGCACAGGACCAGCGCCGCCGCCCGGCCCCCCGCCCGCTGCTGGGCCTGGGGTACTCACAGGTCCTGCACCACGATGTACTGGTGGGGCACCAGCCCCTCCACGCCGCTGTGCCGGCCCTCCCACCAGTCCCCGGACACGCGCTGGTACAGCAGCAGCGAGGCGCCCTTCTTGAAGGACAGCTCCCGGGCCGAGCGCCCCACGTAGTCGAACTTGGCGATGGCTTCTATGGGCTCACACTCTGCAAAGAGCACAGAGACCAGGCTGAGGGCGGGCAGGACGCGCGGGGAGAGGCCGCGTGTGGCTGTGGACAGACACAGCCAGGCCAGACAGTGTCCAGCCCGAATACGACAGAAGCGATCACCACGTTCTCCTTCTGGCCTCAGTGTTGCAAAGCAAAAGTGAACACCACGAACTACATCTTAATTTCCACAGCCTCCTGCTAGAGCTAGGGCAGCCTAAGAAAGAGTATTTTAGACTCTGCAATACGATATATAAAATTTCCCCCAGAGCTGGAACGTTCTCCACAACTGCGTCAATATTACTGTGGCATTGGTGGAGCTGCTTTGTTATGCCATTTATTACGTGGAAGATCCCAGAACACTAAGGATTTATACTTTGCTTCGTTTTAAAAATCAAGCTTACAAAACGCATCACGATAATTACTCTTTGAATAGATTCACTTTTCTCAGGCGGCACAACCAGACTGTCACTCTTTCACCAATAATAAAACAACCTGGCTTTCTTTAGTATTAGTAACATTTTGGGGGACATCTGTGATGCAAGCACACCTTGGGTTGGTCTATAACCAATTAAAACCCCAGATCGAATGATTATATTTTCTAGGGTGTCAAGGCAGGCAAAATGGGTGAGGAGTTTGTCAAAAGGTACAAACTTCCAGTTATCAAACAAGTAACTCCTAGAGATGCAATATGACCCTACTTAATATACCGTATTGCATATTTAAAAATTGCTGGACGTAGCCTTAAAAGCACTCGTCATAAAAAAGTCTGTATGTGGTAACAGATATTAGATTTACTGTACTGATCATTTAATAATATATACGAATATAAAATCATTATGAGCTTAATGGTCAAGGGAATTATGATGAGTGAAAAAAAGCCAATTCCTATAGATTATATTACGTGTATAATTAGATTTATATAATATGCTTGAGATGACATAATAATCAAGACAGAGGGTAAATCAGTGGTCGCCAGATGGCACCTGTCTGTACCATTTCTTACTACGGCATGTGCATGAACAGTGATCACTCATTTGTGGAATACAAGGAAACAAAGCAAAATAAAACAGAACAAAACCAACGTTTAGACTCTGACAAAAAGTGGTATTTTCCAGAGGGGCAGGGAAGCAGGTGGGAGGGGCGGGTAGAGGGGCCAACGGGATAGTGGTGAACGGCACTAACACTGGGTGGTGGGTGCAGCGCGGCGTCTGCATTTATCAAAGTGTGAAGCTCTACCCCTGAAACGTACACGGAGTATTATAATTAAATGGTAAATCAAAATAAAAAAAGTGAACTCTGGGTCTAGAATCAGAATTTCAGCTCTCCTGGAATTCTAACCACAGTTACTGAGGACAAACCAAACGAACTACTTGGACAGGTGCTTTCTGTGATTCAGCGTATTGTGAAACGCTCTGCAATCTGGGGCTGTCTGAGCTTTCCTGCTCCCTCCCACCATCACTCCATCCTCATCCCTGCTGTCAACAGTCAGTGAGTAAACATCTAGCCAACAATAACGAAACTGAAAAGGGTCACGACAGAAGTACAAGCCTACAGAAAAAGAGCTATGCGACAAGAAATACCCCAATTTGCTAAAAACGGAATTCGTATTTGTTTCCAGATACTGTTGAATATGTGCCCCGCATGAGAGACTCAAGCCTGCCTATCTGTCAAATATTTTCTTAGAAAATTATCTTCTATTTCCCTTGCTAACAAACCTTCCCATTAAAAGAGTTTATTTTTCCAAAGTTCATTGCAATATCTGTTGTACTTATATGGAATAACTGCCCGAATCGTCCTTAGAGAGCCAGCTAACCTTCTTTCTCGCTTGATAAATTCAAACATTCTCTGAGACATGGAAGGCAAAGCCACAAAAATCAACAGCCATACCGAAAAAAACCAGGTTTACCTTGTATGAAGGGCCTGGGTGAATTTCAACTAAATATTTAAAAGAGAAACAAAATAATGCTCCATTTTTCGGAAGGGAAAAATGTTTGAGGTAAATGTGTCATACGGCAACTTCATAGTCCGCGTGCAGCATACGTCTCAGCAAAGCAGGCATAAAAATTATATTTAAACAGTTTAAGTCCACTAACAACGGACGGTAGCTTTCTGGCCATATAGTAACACTCTGATATTTCCCCCTGAAATTATATTTTCTTTACTACAGTAAATAAGTACCAGCTCTATTATGTATCTATAAATCTGCTTCATGGGGTGGGACTATAACTTTATATTCAAAGGAATGACTTTATAGTTTGTTTTAAACTTGCAGATGAAGAACAAAGCCTCGATCTAAGAAGACAGATACTGTTCTCTCTGGGGGACAGAAATAAAACACAGCCATGGAGTGCGGGGGAAGCTAGTCTATACTGATTTATTCAAACAAACTCCGTGGCATGTAATCTGTGAACTCCCATGTGAACATGCCCATGTTTTAAATTCTGTTTTGCTGGAAAAATTGAGACTGATCTATCACATCATCTAAAATCTATGCGTGTGTCACAGTGAAACAGAGAGAACCATTCCTGTTCTTCAGTGACATTCGGTTACACAGCTTTCTGCAATGCTGGCCAAGGCTGTTGAAGACTATTTAACAGATCTACACATATTTTATCATAATTTCAGAACCATGCCCTCTGTGACCATCCTGTCTTTTTATCCTTTGAAACAACAGGCCGATCAGGCCCTGCTTATGGAATTTGAATGTGGAAGAGGTTATGAAAGAATGACCAGGTGGATCAAAAGTACATTTTATTGATGATCCTACTACACCAACTAGTAATTCTGAGCAATTTCATTATTTGGATTCCTTCTTCTCCCTCGAGAGTCATTTCACAGTCAAGTGTGAATCAATAAGCTATTTATACACATCTTAGTCTAGTCAGTGCAGAGGAAATCAATCTCTGGGCATGGAATGTACCCTGCTCCTTTCACACAGTGACTTACCCGGTCCTCCCAGGTCCTGCAGAGGCTGCAGAGCACTGCTGCTACATTACAATAAAAGAACAACACGATAACTTCAGATTTCTGCACGGCTATGATAGTTTTCGAAAAAAGGAAAGAGAATTCAGTAGAGCTGATTTTCTGAATGCCTGGTGCTTGGCCAAGGCTTGCATTTCCATTTCTCATCATTTTACACAAACTCTTAGCACACTTTCTATCTGGGACCTTGCTTTCCCTGACACTTTCCTTCCTGGATCTGTAAACCTGGCCCTTGCAGATGACGGCCTTGTTCTGTGACAGTCTCTCTTCTGGAAACAAAAGCTACTCTCTCTAGCGATCCATGCCAGAGAAAAGAAAATACAATAACACCGAGGAGATCAAAAGGTAATCAATACTCTAGTTAATTTAGTGACAGTACGTTAGAGGCTGGCTTGGCTTGGGGTAGCTGTCTTTTTAAGCAATGCTTTTATTTCCAGCAAAATCAGGTGAACACGATCAAAATGTTATTTAAAACCCAGAGCCTTTTGTAAATCTTTTCTTTTGTAGTCAATGGCCAAAGAACTGACACATGGCATCAAGTGGAAGCTGATGTGGCTGGAGCTTTGTCTTGGCTTTTCCAGCCACCGAGGAAGGTGAGCAACGCTTGGAGGAGGTGAGGAAAAGGAACAGAGAGAGAAAGAAATCCAAGACAAGCCCTGCTAGAGGCAGGGCTCAGAGGCCTTCAAAAGCAAAAAGACAAATACAAGTTCTTACAGAATTTCTCCGAACTTAATTTCGAGACGTGTGAATTCATGTTACTTTAAAAAACACAGGCTCTGTCTTTCTCTCGAGCAGAGGGTAGACACTAGACGCTTTGAATACCCTCTGCTGAAACAACTGAAAATTCTGGAGTTAAAAATAGAGGGTTTGTAATTGCAGTAATAAACTATCACAACCGCAAGGAACACTAAATATCAAAATCTCAGTGGAAACGAGAGCTTAGCGAGCAGAACTCTAGAAAATGTGAGTCAAAATTTTCCTTAAGGGGCTTTTCCCGCCTGGAAAACTGAAGCTTTATTTTACATAGAAAGTGACTAAGTCCACATCCTACGCGATGTGGAGACCCGAACTACACTCCCCACGCCCCAGGACCAGCCTCTCAGTTGTTGGAGTGAACTTCTCGATCAAGAAATGGCCTTTGCTCCTGGCCTGCACACACTGTAAGCACCCGCACCGTCCTCGCCCCCAGGCTGAAGGGAACCGGCGGTTTCCATCCTTGGGCACATGATCCCTGAGACGCAGCCACACCGGGCGCAGGCAGGTTTGCAGCTCACACGACCTGGGCGGCTGGACAACCGCAAACTGGAAACTCCATGTGGTCCTCAAGTGGTCACTCCAGCTCACAGCAAGTGAAACCTCTTCGGAGAGACCCACCGTCTACTGAGCCAAAGGGCTTCTACCAGCTTCTAAGACATGGGTAAACCTTTCTAAAACCCCCTGGCAAATAGGACTCAACGAGCAAGAACCTGCGGCCACAAATCCAGGAAGACTCCAGACATCGAACGACCCGACACAGCCCGAAGCGATGCAAGGGGCTGACGTGGCGGGTGCGGAGCAAGAGCCTGTGAGCACGACCAAGCAGCGCGTGTGACGAGCAGCCAAACAGAGCCCGCGGGGAAAACAATGAAAACTAAAAACTCAGCGGGTGGCTTTAAGAAGGATGCGGCAGTCACAGCTAAAGAGAGAAGAAAGACCCATCTGCACAGCCAGAGGGGCAGGAAGAGAAAGTCCTTAGTTTCATAGTTTATACTAACAAATGAAAAGTCTTGGAAACGAATGTTAAACGTTAAACTTAAAAAGTTAGAAAAAGGAAAAAAAAGGCCTCTTCAAACAAGAGGCGACTCATGCTGACTAATGCGTGTGGGGAGGGTGCAGGGGGTGCAGGGGGTGCAGGGGCTGCAGGGGCTGCAGGGGCTGCAGGGGGTGCAGGGGGTAGCGTTCCCCCTCCTCTGGGGAGCTGTGAGAAACAAACCGTGTCCTCACGGGAGACCCCGTCCGACTGTGCTGGTCTTCCTGTACCCCGTGTTTCCTCTCGAGACACTGCGTTTTATCAGCAGCATCCTCAGTAGTCACCGAAGGGCACATGAAATCACCGAGAGCTACTGCGATGGTGGCCAACGGCGATACTTGATAACACCGGGCGCTGCGGGCCAGCCCCGGGGGCTGTGGGCTGGGCCGGGGTCCGTATCACACAGCCAGCGCCAGCAACAACCTGGCAGAATCCAACAGAGTGGACGGCAGGCCTGCTGGTAGGTGTGTGTGTTCTCGAGGAATTCCCGAACGTTTCCAACGGGAGACGTGTTGGAAACACTGCGAGCGGCTGTTCCCAGGGCAGAGACCCAGAAGACACCTCTCCCGCCCCCACCAGCCAGGCAATGCAGTGGAATACTATGCAGGTGACTCTCGGGAAAATAATCCCGAGTAGAGAAATCATGATAAATACAGAAGGTCTGAGGCCACTTATGGAAAGTTCCAGGAGGCTGCAAATGAAAGGCCAACCGCTCTCCACACAGACACCGGGGGCGCCGCGGGGGCCGGGGGCTGGGGTCCCTGTGGCTGGGGGTCCCTGTGGCTTTCTTCTTGACCTTGGTGGTGGCTCTTGGGTGCTCACGGGGATATTATTCTACGTAGTTTACACAGTCAAAAAATATCCTTTTGCCTGCACTGACTAGCGAATGAAGCGACGCTACAGAGGACAGGCCCGCGGGCCGGGGCGAGGGCTCACCGTCGTCGCTGGTGTGCGGCCCGGTGCCCGCGTCGGGGTCTGCCTCCTCGGGCGCGCCGTGCTCGCTGTAGGGGCTGTCGCTGTGGGGACAAAGTCGCGTGAGGCCAAGTGAGGACTTAAAAGTGAACAACTGCTGAGGAGGAGAAAGATGAGCCTTTGTGGGGGCCCAGGAGTCACTAACAAGCCCGAAACGGGGTGTGGTGGCCTCACCTTGGGCTCAGTTTCTTACAATTCTCTAAAGACAAAGGGGTTGTCCCAGCCCGACAGCCTGACCAGTCCCTCCTCTCCGGGGAACGGAAGATGAGCTCGAATTCCAGCGGCGTGTCGCTGGGCATCGCCCTGCGGTTACACCAGTTGTGCAAATTCCTCTGGACACGCCTTTCTGCACACATGGAGGTTTCTTTGACTTCTGCTTTTAATGGGTTGTAGTAGCTTCTCCATTTTTTGGTGGACAGTTTCATTTTCTATCTACACGAGAGTTGTGAGTCTATTCTTTAAAAAAATTGATCCTTTGACACTAACACCCCGTCTCCCCTAATGAACGCTGACAAGCGGGATGTATTGGCCACAAACACAAACCTGACGCTAATGTGGAAGCCGTGTTCGGGGACAAAGGAAACTATCGTGATATTGACTTTGTGTTGAAAATGAATGATGGGGAAGGACATGATCAAATTGGCTGCAAGCTTCTTTGTTATGGGGCCGCCCTACTCGCAAAAAGTAATGACCAGCAAAAATCCTGAAATATCACACATCAAGAAATACTGGCCAGACATTCATATATTTGCTTTGTGATAAAACGAGCAAGACAGCAGAGCCTGCACACATAGCCCCGGATATTTGGAAATACTTAACATGCCTTTGACTCTGGCCATGAAACAAATGTGACCGTGGAAATAAAATTACGGAACTCAGCAAGGCTGAGTTTTACTCATTTATCTCTCCAGAGTCAAGCTTGTGTGGGGACCTTGCACATAGTAGGTGCTCAAGGAAATATTTTTAAATTGAATCCATGTGTAAAATATCTGGATATACCATAGAACTGGAATCTACCATGCCCTGCTGTTAATTTAGAGCAATATTGGGATAGTCAAGGCCCAGTTTTCTTTTTTTTTTTTAAGATTTATTTATTTATGCAAACAAGAGCTGGGGTGCAGGCCAGAGGTGCAGGGGTGAAAGGATTCCCCAGAAACAGAGTGGGGAACAGAACAGGCAGACTGAGAAATCCACTGCTGAGGGGAGCAGCGGGGAGACAGGAGGGGGCTGCTGCGCCATGTGGGTAGCTCCCTGGCCGGGGATGGAACTCGTGCTGCAGAGGCTGCGGACAGCTTGACAGTGCTGAGACTTAACCCCTGTGCCCCCAGGGAGGCCCAAGTCTCAGTTCCTCAAGGCATATGACCAAACTGTGGAATAAGAAAAAAATAAGTGTACCTTCAGCCACCTAAGACATTCAGCTCCTTGTTCTATGAATGCTTCTACTTAACCCCCAGGAAGGAAATGGGGGACAAAGTGTCCTGAGAAGGATCCAGAACGAAGGCCTCAGCCAAGTCTATTTTTAGGCGGCTCCTAAATCTGGGCTGCATGGGGCCTTCTGAGGTAGGCCGGGGGCAGCTGTGGAGCGGGAAGTCTCCTGTGGGCTTTGCAGTCAGACAGACCTGGGCTGTCTCCGGTTACCACCAGGCATTAGAGCCGCTTCTTGGCCTCTCTCAGCTGACTTGGTGGAGCGTTTGTGTGGAATAAAAGCCACCGTATGCACCAAGTGGCTGGCGTGGTATGTAAGGGGAGGCGCGCAGGAACGGAAGCTATTTTTATTGTGCATGATCTGTCAGCAGCTAGAAACACGTGTCAAACAGGGCTCCTCACCTTTGGGATCATTTGGTTGACACCCCCCCCCTTTTTATACTTCATTGGGAGTGACTGGACTGCCTTATTAAAAGCTGTTGTGTCCCAACAACACATTAACGTGGCAAGTTTGTGCAAAACGCCTTCTACCGCTGCAACTCACTAGGGTGTTTATCACTAAGAGTGAAAGTGAAAATCAGAATGAAAACACACCGGCTGACCAGGCTCCTTTGAAATGACAGCTCTGAGGATCAAACCTGTTTCAGAATGAAGTGGAATCTGTGAATAGTTCTCTTTTGGGGATGTAATGGTGAAGATTAATAAAGCTCTTTGTAAAGTCAAACCTTTATTCTCTATAAAAGCCATGGTGGGATGGATGTTTAAAAAGATGTAATCTTTGTGGAAAAGGAGAAAATGTGAGCGTCCATAAGAAGCTAGTGCTGTCACGCGACTTAGTACTCTAATTTACCTCACGTCGCCTGCTTCTTCCTTTGTATTTTTTTTTAAGTGAAGCATTGGTGACTTTTGGCCATTTTCCCCCTAATAATATTGAACACATGTTCAGAACTCTCTCCAGGGAGAGGACTAACATTCACGGGCTTACCAGTAGTCATCTCCAGCCATGCATTTCTCATAAACTGGGCCTTCCAGCTCTTTAGCATCCGGGAAAATAGTCTCGTGGTGGATGATGATGGTTTTGACAATTTCATTCACGTGAGCCTGGCAAGACACTTGATCCTGAATTTCTGGAACGGGCATCAGTGTTGGACCAAAACAAATGGCCAAGTTATACGGGTCCATCATGTTTTCATCACTGTACTGCGAGAGACTGTGAAAGGAAGCAGGACAGGGGTTATTCTGGGGAGATTTCTAGCTGTCTAGCACTAATCTCTAAATTCAGATTTAATGGATATTTGTGAGATATTTTCCACAGATGACTCACGCTAAGCCAGCTCCTTGTGGTTAAGCCTCTAACACAGGGCAAGGGAGAATTTAGAACATTATCCTCCAGTGTCTAAAGGACCATTCTTGGGGGGAATGTGAAATCCAGGTGAACAGATGACAAATGGAAGGAGAAAAAAGATACTCCACTCCCTTTGCGATCTGGTGACTGACACAAAGAAACGGAGACACCATGTGACATGATACTTGACTTTTTTTTGGAAATAGGATAGCCCAGAAAGTAGGAAACACAAAGGCATAATTTCCTCAGCTAACATATGTCTTTCCCTCATGCCACTTCTCAATCTTAAAAAAAGTTGACAGCAGCAGCTCACGATCACGTTACAGGGCATCATGAAAACGGAGAGAGGAAGGAGCCAGGCTCAGAGTGGGGATGGGCTCATTTCTGTAAGACACCGAAGCTCAGTGGGGGGGAGTCACAGTCCAAGGTTTCTGGGTCTTTAATGCAGTGCCGGCTTGAAGAGCACAAACTTGATATAAAAATGCTATTTCTACATTTCAATTTTACAACTGAAAATGAACAGGCAAGTTCTCTTCACAGTTCCTGCCCCACGCAGGACACCCAGAGGGCTGGGTCTTCCCTCCGCCTGCAGGCCGGTAGCAGGAGCCGGGGCAGGCTTGAGCAGAAAGGCCGGAAGCTGAGTCCCGGCACGTCTGCCATTGTGTTGCGCTTTGTGGGTGGTTAGATGCAGGTTGGGAGATCTTTCCTAATTCCACATTCAGAATTAAGTTGACTCTGGTCTTTTGGTTCACAGTGGGCTTAGTGCTGGTGTGGCAGGAAAATTTGGTGGGGCGAGCACGGGTTGGGCGGGAAGGCTCTCCTTGTGTGTGTGTGTGTGTGTGGGGAGGCACATGTAATGAGAGGTGAAGACGACAATCCCTCAGTCTCCCAACAGTCTGGGTGAGCAGGTGAAAGTGCAGACACCATTTATAACCACGCCTTGACATCTTGCTCCTTCCAGAGGTGGCTTCTGTACAAACGGGGTCCCGCCATGTATGAACGTGGTAGTTCATTGTTTCCTGCTGGCGTTGTCCTATCATGTGGGCTTGCTTGTTAGGGGCAGACTTAAGTGGGTGTGACTCGGGAGGAGTCAGCAGAGCTGCAGTTAGTTCTATGAATTTCGTGAACATAAACCCTCTCAGGAAATTGAGAAGAGAAGACATCCTAATTTTGCGGAATACAGACAAAGCAAACAAAGGGTCAGACAAAGACAGTCCTTGGAAGCTGCCCACAGATATGAGACGTCCAGGAGCGGGTGGTAGGGAAGGCGGGAGAGGCAGGGAGGGTGGAGGAGCACACGGGGCTGTGGCGACGGACGGTGGGTGCTTTGGTGGCGGGAGAACTACGGCGACCACACCTGGGGGGAGAAGCCATACGTTGTCCAAATATCCACAGTGACGTAAGAAAAAAGTAATTCATTTAAAAATTAAAAAAGGAAAAGAAAACATCGTAATTCTAGGCAGGGAGAATCCACGCCAGGTGGAGAAGGCACTTCTCCAAATTTCGTCCCCCTGGAGTTCCTTATTTCCAACGGCTTGGCCCAAACACTGAAAAGCAAGGAGACTGTTCAGCCGGGACTCGGTGATTCTCCCATCGGGGAGCATGTTTCAGGAAGTAACGAAGCTGAAAGCTGAGTTGCTTAAATGAAGAGTAAAGTATCTTTGAAGATAATGCTGATTTTTATGATTTCTGTTACATTGTTTTAGAGAACGCTTTAGAAATCTCTTCTTGACAAGTTCTCATTCTGCTGATTTCGCAGAAATTCTTTTTGGGATCTGTGTATACGTCTCATCTACAAGTCACTCCCCTACATCAAAAATTGCACACATTTTCTGCAGGTGGTTTACATCATTTTGATGAAAACATTCATGACATTAGCTTTGGACAGAAGTTAGAAAAACATATTTCACTAAAATGTGTTCTTTGTAGCAATATTTGTATATGTTTGCATCGATGGCCATATTTGCTGCATCCGGAGCAGAGCTTTCATCTGTCACATAACGACCTTGATCTGTTGAAAAATGCACCTGTCGTCTGTATTCAATCATCCTCTCTTCAACTCTGCTGATAAACAGACTCAACGTACATTTTACAGAATCCAAAAACAAAGACAGAATTCAGAGAGATATAAACAGAATTAGATGGATATTCTGGCAGAGCATCAGGTACTTACTGATTGAGGAAAGCAAAGAGGTACCTCATCACGATAAGGACCGACCTGGGCAAGGTGAGGAGCAGTTTGCGGATGTGAAGTGCCCTCTCATAGAGATTATCTATTCCTGCAGGCAAGAGGGGACACGGTCAGCTTCCTTTCACCCGCAACGTTTAAGGCAGAATGTCGGAGCACCCACGTTTCATGTATGTGTCTGAACATAAGTCACGCCTTGCCCTTGGGTGAGTCAGTCATCACCCACACAGTGCCCAGGGGGTCGGCGTGGAGGCACCACCGTTTCTGAGGGCATCACAGTTTTCTCTGATGCCCATGATTTTGGCCTTGGGCAGCTTAGCGTCTTCTAGATAAACTTACAACATGGCGGAGGTTTTAGGTGTTACTACGTCGTTCTTAATTACTCTTGAGACACACAGGTCTTGCCTCTGACGCTCCAAGGCAATTGATTCTCCTCCCAGAAATGAAAAATAACCCAAATATCCACTGATGGATGGATAATCCGAATATATACACACACAATGATATATTATTCAGCCATAAAAAAGGCATGAAATTCTAATACACACTACAACACGGATGACCCTTTCAGGTCTCATGCTAAGTGACCGTGCCATCACAAAAGGCCAGCTGTGGTAGCTGAGGTTTCTAGAATAGTCAAATTCAAAGACACAGAAAGTAGAACCAGCATCGTCAGGGGCTGAGGGCGGGAGGCGCGGGGGTTTAGTATTAAATGGAGACAGGTTTCCAGTTTGCGACCACGAGGGGTTCTGGAACTGGACGGTGGCCACGGCTGCAGACAAGGTGCTTAGTGCCACGGACCTGCACACCCACCAGTGCTTACCTCATGAGCATGAAGTGACGTGTATTTTAAATACAATTTAAAAATGAAGACTGGAGGAGAAGGCCGTGGATGCAAACGAGAGATTTCAGGAGAGAAAAGCAACAGGTGCACGAGAAGGCGAGACCGAGAAGACTAGATGGAGCCAGGGCGGCAGGAGTCCACTCCTGCACCGCCAGGAGACCGATCTCAGCCAGACGGCCGGGCTGGCACGGCGGGCAGAGCAGCAAACCCATCACCCGTTTGTCCCAAGGCCTCAGCCCCCACGGCCGTGAGCAGGATTCGGCTACGGCTGTGGCTCAACAGGCCCGCGGCGCGCGTCCTGCCGCGTTCTCGCGCGGTACCCATGCCCCAGACTGTCCTGCGTCCAGAGAGCGGGTCCCAATGGACGGTTCCCACAGCCCTTTGCTGGACGCCCTGCCCAGCGGGCTCTGAGAGCGGCGGGTGATGGTCGCAGGTGTATGCTGCGTGGCAAGACAGAGCTCTGCGTCCCCGCAGCCCGCCCGGGAAGTCAGGGCAGGAGCTCAGCCTTCTTCTGGCTCTCGCTCACGCTGCCCTTGGTTTCCACGACTCAGGAGCAAATGTGATTAGGTGAAGTGGCGTCTGCCAACCTTGGGCACAGAATCAAGGCTCCCGAGGCTCATTTATGTTCTTCCCCGAGCGCTGGACGCCCCCAGGTCGGCCTCCCGACCGCACCGCATGGGGGCGAGGGCCCTGGAAACGTGGGTGAAAAATTCACCACAACGTGCGGGTGACCCCAGAAAGCAGCCAAAAGTCCAAATGGCGGGTACCCTGAAAAGACCAGCTCTGCTGTGGCACCATTTGCAAAAGTATTTGTTAGAAAACAAATCATAAATCACAAGATGCAAATGCATCCTTCAGTCGGAAGACAGGGAAGGAAATTCCTTGGTGGCCACATTTGGAAATGGTTTGTTTAACAGCAGCAACACGCAAACATGTCTGACTTCACAGCCTTGCGGTATTCACAGTGAATTTCCCAGCCCCAGGACAGCTTTGGGGTCACCGCAGGTCCTGACAGTGACAACCTCGGAGTCGACTCTGCCTGCGTGGAAGTGTGCGCGACAAAGAAAGGGAGAGGGAAGGGCACAAGGGATGCTCCGGCACGTGTGCACGGAGCTCGGCTTAGCCTCGAGAGGATGACCAGCTGCTGCTCTAGGTGAGACTCAAAATGCTACAAATCTCTTTTATTAACCATCAATAGACCAACTTCTATGAATTACACCACTGTGTTCTTTCCTAGCTAATTAGCAACACCGTTGAGATACACACACACACGTACACACACACACACACACACACACACACACACACACACACAATTTGCCCTTTTCTGCTGAATTAGCATATGGAGGTTATTAAAGAAACCAATTCTTAGCCTAGGACTTGACCTGCTCAGTTCAGACACTAAACCTATTAAATCCTTTTAAGGATAAAAGGGTCCCTAAGATAATTGCTATAAGGCATCAAACAGAAATGTAGAGTTCAGAGAGAAAGCCACCAGGTATGCAGTACAGTTGAAAAGAATTTTCAGCAACAAAAACGTATTTTAGAAAATGTGGTGCAGGAGAAAATTCTATCATCCCTTTGGGTTCTTCTGAGGCTGGATGATGGAGCAAATTAGAAGGCGACTGATCAGCAGGAGAATAAACCAAAATTTAATAAATTCACGTATGGAGCGTTTACATGGTTGTAAATTCTAAGGTAATAGGGTCAAACCAAGGGCTTAACCCTTGTGCAAAGGACCCAAGAAAGGTGGGGTTTGCACACGATGAGGACGGGATGGTGTCATCTTTTCACTAATGGAAAAAGATTTTCTCAGAGAGGACGTGTTCTCGAAAAGCCTACAGCTGGGTGACACCCCAAACTGTTTCTACTTCAGCCTCGGGGGCAGGGCGAGGGATTGGGGAGAAGCCAGAGTTTCTCCTTGGCCTCCAGGGCCTCAGCTGACGTTATGTCAACACGGCCATGGGGCGTGTACTGCGGAAAGGCCACTCCGGAGGTCTTGAAAAACACCTTCTGAGCCCTTCTGAGAAGACCCACAGGGGCATCAGGTAACCAGTTCAAGAATTGCTCATTAACAATCAGAAACGGGCAAATAGCTTATGCACTGAAAGGTTCATCACAATGTTTTGTATAACTGCAAAATCACTGGAAACAATGTCCATTTCTAAAAGTAGAGTACTCGTTAAAAAAAAAGCTATGGTGGGACATTATGGGTGCTCTGGTGTTGGGTGTGGTGTGCTAAGTGTGCACCCTTACACCCCCAAATCATACACTGTGCAAGGTTAGTTCAATAAAAATAATACTATTAAAAAACACCAAAACCTTATATGGCCACTAAAAACTGTATTTGAAAAATAGTTACTGAGATGCAAAGATGTTAATAACATTAAATTTAAATGTGGTTTATAAGCAGCAAGTATGGTAGGATATAATTTAATAACAGATTTACTGAGTTATATACATATCATATGTATTCACCCATTAAAATAATAAATTCAGGGCCTCCCTGGTGGTGCAAGCGGTTAAGCACCACACTATGAAGCAATCCGCAGCCTCTGCAGCATGAGTTCAATACCCGGTCGGCCAGGGAGCAACCCACATGGCGCAGCAGACCTCTCCTGTCTCCCGCTGCTCCCCTCAGCAGTGTACTTCAGTTGATCTGCCTGTTCTGCTCCCCACTCTGTCTCTGGTGACTCCTCTCACCCCCTCCTTGAGCCCCCAGTATCTGGCCTGTACCCCAGTTCTTGTATGCATAAATAAATACATCTTTAAAAAAATAAAATAATAAATTCAGTGGTTTAAAGTGGATTCAGAGTTGAGTGACCATTGCTTTAGGTGACTTTAGACTATTTTGATCACCTCAAAAAGAAATTTCACATCCATTTGTGAAAGAGACACCTGTCTAGCTGAATAGGCAGCTAACTCACGCGTGCCCTGGGCTTGGAGCAGTTGTAAGGACGGCAGCGACATTATTGAGGCTCACTGTGGGCGAGGCATGGTGGTAAACAGGGTTAGAGATTATCTCATTTACGCTTCACACAGATGCGATGAAGCAGATAAATAAACAGCTATTTAATCATTCATGTTTACCTAAAGTCATAAAGCTGTTAAATGGACTTGAACCCAGATCCTTCCGACTCTCTGACCTTAGCATTTAACCACCACATAGAATAACACGGGCGTGACTGCACACGGCAGCTGGAAGTGTCGCCACTGCTCTACCCAGCCCGCACACTAAACACAAAGGTGGGTGTGATGAGTGTAAACGCCACTCCACACGGCATCGTGCTCAGGATTTTTCCTGAATTAAGCTTTCTGGCCAGGAAGTGGGGAAATCTTTGGACAGAGCCAAAAGCGAATTCCTAAAGGGTGATGCCTCCTTCTCAGTTCTGTCCAGATGGGTCAGAGGCCCTCTGTGATGACTGAGGCTACGCCAGCGCCTTGGGATGGACACACAGGCACACTTCTGAATCGCACACAAGACATGGCTCTGTCGCGCAGAGCATGTGTGGGGGAGGCCACGGGACTCTGACTGGGGCATTCACAGTCAAGGAAAGCCAGGGCATTAGGCCTGGGTACCAACAGAGGAATTTGGGTGGAATCTGACTTCATTTCATTTAAACTCTATTTGACGACTGTGAATCACACACTCATGTTGTGGCTGGAATCCACTCCGCCAAGTGCTGGGGCTACAATCTGACAACCTGTCGAGATCTCAGGCCTGTGAGTTCGCCGTGGCCAGCTACTTGGTGTGCTCTGGTCAGTCCGCCGCACATATTCCATGCCAGGTACTCTTGCTACTTTGCAAGTATTAACTCACGGAATTCTTGCAACCCTATGACATATGGTTTAATAGTCTCCCTGTGTGATAGCTGAAGAAGCTGGGGTTCAGGTTAAGAGACTCGCGCACATCCACACAGCTGGCACACCATTCGGACGCAGACTTCAACCGAGGCTGTTTGAGCCCAGAGCCTACGTCCTTAACTTCTTCTCTAAACTCTCCCTCTAGCAGAGGGAGACAGAGGGGTTCAAGATGTATGATGTGGGGTGATGGGGATATTACAGATCCACGCACGTGGTGGAACGTTAGTGGAGGAGGAAGAGACTGGCTCTTCTTGGGGTGGTGGGGAGCAGGGTGTTCTGGAGAAGGCTTCACACCGGGTGTCTCACGGCAACTGAGTCAGCAGGGCACAGGTGGGGGGGTGGGATGTCCTCCACACGTGCAGTTTTCTGTGGCGGACATCCACAGCAAACAGGGTAGGGTGGCCGGAGATGAATGCACCGAAGTAGAAAGAGATCAGATAACTCTAGGAATCGACTGCAGAATTGAAGCAACCAGAGGGGGCGGGTGGGGGGCAGAGGGCCCAGTGGGCTATGGTGGGAGATTGTGGGTGCTCTGGTGGTGGACGGTGGTGGATAGGTGTGACCCTGTCCCCCTAAATCACACAACATCACCAGCCAATATCACCTCAGTCAGAAGACAACACAATCGGGAAAATAAATAAATGGAATCATGGGGGGGAAAGAAAGGTCAGAGAGACAAAGACCATCGGAGAGAATCCATGCCCAGGCGCGAGTGTGTAGGCAGGAAACACAGAAACAGGCTTTAACCCAGGGGGAGGGAGGGAGAGAGAGAATCCGTGTGTGTGACTGAGCCCAAATTGTCCTTTTGAGCAGCTGCAGTGTGAATGATGGAGGATGTGGGTGTGGTGGTATCGGGGGGCAGAAGAGGGCAAAACCCAGAGGGGGTGACTCCACGTAGGAGCCTCACAGCAGCCCCAGTGGGACCCAAGGCGGGGGGAGAGGGGCGGGCACAGCCTTTTCCGAGGTCAACCCAGGAGGACTTGTGGCCTCAGGTGGGGTGTGGGGCGCTGCGGAGGCAGGGGGTGTCTCCATGAGAGCAAAGCGTGGTCACTATGGAAGCCTCAGGAGGGACGCGAGGTCAGCTCCGGACCCTGGCCTGGGAGCTCGGTCCTGACGGGGACTGGGCCACGAGCCCCACACGGCCCTGGCGGGGACTGGGCCACGAGCCCCACACGGCCCCGGCAGCTCTGCCTGTCCTGCAGACGCCGCTGGCAGGGAGCCCGCCTGGTGTCCGACCTCGCGCCACCTCCTCCCCGGAGTCACACTCCAAGACGGACGAAGGACCTGCTCCCGAGACTGGGGGAGAAGCCAAAGCTAACACCCAGAGAAGCGGCATTTCCACACTTCCCGCGTCCTCAGGCCCCAGCGAAGCGGCCCCTGCCACCCCCCCACCCCCCCCACCCCCCCCACCCCCCCATCACTCCAGCCCGCGTGGGGAGCCGAGCCCCACGGAGCCGGAGCCAGGGCTCAGCCAAGGGCGAGGCCCCAGCTGGGGCGATGACTCAGCTGGACCACAAAGAAAACAAATGGTCTCAGAGAGTTGGTGGTGATGGGGGGCGGTGGGGAGGGCATGCGGGGGGCGGGGGGGCCACTGCCTTTTCCAGGAAACTGCTTCGACAGTTCTGGTGGGAAAAGACTGAAGAAAAAAAAAATCTACTCACTGATACAAGAAATCAGATCATTGAATCTTTCCTTAGGAAAGAGGGGGTTTTCCAGCCCACGGAAGTAGAGCTTCAGCACGCCGGCCACGGAGTTGATGTCGTGGTTACTCTGGTCGTCAGCCAAAGGGTTTTCACCTAAAAAAAACCAGTGACATGTACAGTCCTGCGCCGCACAAAAAATACGTTTCTATATATACACACATTTCTATATATACAGGCATCTTTTAATTACGCTTTCATGAAAGATTACATGGCACTAAAATTAAAATAATTGGTTTACACAGTCTACCCCGTGATTAACTTAAAAATAGTTGGCTAAAATAAAGCTTTTTTTAATCTTACGCTACCCAAATAATCCCTTACAAGTTATCCGAATCTTAAAATAAAATGTTGTGGGATTTACAATTTTACCTAGATTTTTTTTGAACTAAAATCTCTAATCTTAGTTTGACATGAATTCAAATACTACGTCCCATGTTTCTTATTCTACTGGGAAAAAACACAGTACGAGGCCTGTCTGGCTGTGCTATGTGCATCAGCCAAATTTATCAGAAATAGTCCAGGCGTCACCAAATTATGACCATCTCCAGTTAAATAAATGTTTCCTAAAGCGACATGGTGTGTTCACATGTGCACATTTGCATCTGCCTATAGCAGTGGGAGGTTTTTAAACCAGGTAGAGGAATTTGAAAACGTATCCTTAACAGTGCTAAGGAATTTGTATGCAAAGTAGAAATTTAAAAACTATGTCACAAACATGAAATTATGGTAAGCGGTTTTAAAATATTAGTGAACTAAACAAATAGATTAGTTAACTGGGCTGGCTGAGAATTAAATTGAGATAAAATCTCCTAATAAGTTAGCTTAACATACACCTTATTTCAAACTTTTTTTTTTTTTTTTAAATTTTATTTTATTCTTTATTTATTTTTTTTTAATAGAGGCATGTTTTATTTATTTATTTATTTGTTTGTTTTTTTGTTTATACATGCACTGGGTAAGTCAGAAGCGCGGGAGGGTGAGAGAATTCACCAGAGCCAGAGCGGGGAGCAGAGCAGGCAGAAGGACCGAAGGACACTGCTGAGGGGAGCAGCGGGCGGCAGGAGAGGTCTGCGCGCCATGTGGGACCCTCCTCCGGAGGCCGGGGAGCAGCTGGGGATCGAACCGGCGCCGCAGAGGCCGCGGGCAGCTTCGCAAACCAGCGCTCAACCGCTGCGCCACCGGGGAGGCCCTCAAACTTTTTTTTAATTTATAAAAGTTTTTTTATAAATTTTTTTTAATTTATAAAAGTTTTTCCAAAGTTCACAAAAATTGTCCATTTCATTTCAACTTTTGTTTTGGCATCTCGGGGCAGTTTATTTCCAGGGACCTAGTGTTCCTTTTTCTCGGCAACTAGGGCAAGAATTACTTGAGCATGAATTCACCAGAAATGTTGTTTTGCCACCCCGAGAAGCTTCCCTCAAAGACATCGCAAACAAACAACAACTCGCAGGGGAATCTCCAAGAAAAAACAACGCAGCACCCCGCCTGTGGCGGCGGGCACGGGAGCCCGGCTTGCGCACCCTGGAGCTGATCCTGCATGGGGCGGATGCGAGGGCCTGAAACTCCCAGCTGCTGGCAGGGATGCCCCGGGGTCTACGGCTCTTAGAGATTTGGGGACAGGAAAAAAAAATCTGGTTTCAAGTTTACCTCGTTAACCAAGGTTTGAAACGTTCAAAGGCTGCGTGCCCAGGCTGGGCCAGGGAAGGCGGAAGGGGGCGCGGGAGCCCCACGCCACCGGGGATGCCCGCACCCGCCCGTTCCCACCTGCACCTCCTGCAGGGGAAGGACGGGCCTGTGTCCGGGAACAGACACAGCGCAGGTCAGCGACCAGGGAGGGCATCGATGACCACGAGTCGCCACTGCAGAGTTGGGCGTTTTGATGGATTCTATCTGATCCTCACGCCAGTCATGGAATGTCACAGATGAAGAATCCCAGGCCAAAGACCCGAGGGACTTGATTCAAATCAAACAACTAGTAAATAGAAGCGTCTGATTTGATTCTAGCTCTGTCTGACACTCAAGTGTATGGTTTTGCTACTCAGAAAGGGCGACCTACCAGCGGAACAGGATGTATTTACTACCAGACCGCGGACAAGAAGGAAGCGCCAAACAGGGTCACAGGAAGGAGCCGGGGATGGCAGTAGGAGGAGAGACTTCCAGACAATAAGAAGACAGGAAGCCGGACGGGTCCACTCGGGCCCTGCTGTGAAGGCCCAGGGCCGCCCGTGCGGCCCTTCCAGAACCCTCTGTGCCACCTGCGACACATGGACTGAGGGTTCTCTAGGCCAGTCCCAGGCCAGGATGCAAAGCTCCTCTGCTTTTCCATACCTGACACCAGAGCCCAGTGATTCTGACCTCCGCTCTCAGCTGTTTAGATTCTCACCTCAGCACCCTCAGTTACGCACATGAAAGGAGAAAGGTGTTGAAGATAGTCACACCCACTTGAGGCTGCAGAAAATAATGACCTTCCACAGGGTTTGCTTACAGGCACAGCTGCACAGTTACCTCTCTCGAATGAGTTTTTGATGTCATTGACTTCCACCTGGGAGCCGGACACTCTGAACACCCCCTGGTGCTGCAGACCTGGAGGGAAGAGGAGGGAACAGAGATTCTGTCATGTGCCAAGTCGCTCTCTTCCCAAGGGCTAACATTAAGTGTTAACGGAAACACACATTTTCTGAAATATTCCTAGTGATTTGTTTAAAGTAAGAATTCCAGAGTTTGGTAACTCTCGCCCAAGACTGCCCGCCCGTGTCTACGCAGGCGTCTCTTAACAAAGCAGCTTCAGAGGCAGCTCCGCCTGCCCGCTTGTGTCTATGCAAGCGTTCTCTTAATTTTCTAATAAAGCTGCCCCTTTTGTATGCACCTGTATGCATGTGTGGGTGTGTGGAGACACACTATATAAGCACAATATGCGTGCACGCACGCGCACAGACACACACACACACACACACACACACTTATATACAGAGTTGTGTAATTTAATGGATTACCATAGAGATTGATGAACCGAATGCAGCTTTCCACAATGAGAGGGATAACCTGTCCTGAGTCCTGGGGGGAGAGACGGAGCTGGTTAGCCTCGCAGGAATGGCATGAATCACACATAGCAAAGAGGTCACAGTTGAACCCTAAGTACAGAAAGCTTTTTGCCTTTTCAGATATCATTTTCAAATTCATCACACCTAAACTATTCCACAAGGCCCCAAAATAAAACTGCATTTAACCAAAGGTATTTTTCAGTTCTGGAACAAACTAAATTAAATACATTGAGGGTAATCCTGTTTCCTCTTACTCTGCTGTGCCTAGAGATGTCAAAGCAAATTCCTCTCTTTTACTTACACTGAGGTTCATATACCAAAATGTTTGCATGAGTCACTTACATTTTAAAAGCGTCTTATACAAGTAATTAAACTAATGGACCAAAGGAAAACTCTGTATTCTAACCACAGACTCTCTGGACAGATGGCTGCATTAGTCAGCGAACACAACCTTTCAATTATCCTGGGATCCGCTCTGCCCCCCGAGCGTATGCCGTCTACATGACGGCACTCATAGTGGGCTCACATTCTTCCAGATGCACTGGACAATAATCGCTTTATAGATGCCTATAATGTGTCATGTATTTATTTAGTTTGCATCAGAACTTACTCAACCTTAAAGATTTTTCATCGTTATGCTTTCATGTTTTAAGGATGAGGGAAAAAATGCATAAATGTGATCCATTAGATTTCATTTTTCGGGCCTTGTTTCCCCACCTTGTAACACAGTGAGTGCACTCGACCAGAGAAACGTGAGTTCTGGACGTGTCTGAAGGCAGGTCTAGGATGACAAATGAGATGAAGGACTGCTGAGGTAGTTACGTGTGTATCGCGCCACACACTCCATGTGGTTGAAGAAGTTACTAACTATGGAGTTTTTTCATGTACTACTAAGGCTGTGCCTTCAGGATATTAGATCTTTAAAGGAAACATGGCGGGTCCTGACTAGCTGACACCAGGCACTCATTCCATGAGGAATTTATTCTGAAACATAAGAAGAACTTGGCTGTCTTAAAATTTTAGAATAATTCAGAATCCACGAACTTTCCCCATTAAGCAGGAGGGGATAATGTCATAATGGGAATAATGTCATTCAGCAGTTTAAACTCTGCTCTTCCTACAATAGGTGATACACTTCTAGAGGAACGGCTTTATTTTAGGCGTTGAGATAACCTAATCGGTGTGTCAGCCAGTTAATGGATCCATTACCTCTGGAATTTGTGCAAAATTTTTCTAATGAGTTAATTTGTTTTAGGAGCATAAACTTTATTCATTTCTTAAAGAAGGGTCTTAAGAATAAAAACTTTTTAATGAGGACTAGTTGGTTCAAGATTAGCAGTGTAGTTGTGTCAAAAACTTACTGAATATGTGAGGGGACTTTTCTTTTATGACACAAATATGTTTCAAGGGAAGCAAGCTTTATAGATCAATTCATATAACACTGTGATCGAGATAAAAGAGCAACAAATATTTAAATGTGCGATAAAAGGAGAATATTAGTCTTCACCTTTGCTGAACTTAGTATTAAGACAAAGAACAAAAGGTTATTAAAAGGAAAATGTTTGCACTAAGAAACTTCCACATAAAAAATCTCTTAGGTTTTCATATTATTTACAAAATACCTTTCTCTTTACACGACTCGGGTAATTGCTAATCTTTTATTATCATCATCATCAGTATTTCATTCCGATACAATAAATTTTGTAGTGAAAAAAATATGAATAGGTGTGTTTTAATTTAATTGTATGGATGCCAGATGTTTGGGTAGAAAATATTTTATTTATTTATTTATTTATTTTTAATTTATAAATTTTATTTTTATATTCCCCGTACGATTGCAACCCCCTTATTTTGACCCCAATCCCTCCCCTCCCCGCACCCACTCCCCATAGAGTGTCTCTGGTTCATAGTTTTTTGTTGATTTTGATTTTCACTTCCTTATAGTTATTCATTTTCCTGCTCCCTTATTTAAGTTTTCTAGATTCCTGCTCTGAGTGAGACCATCCGGGATTAGAAAATATTTTACAAGAAGTGAAACAACGGGCCGTGGTCCCCCCGTCACTGACACGAATCCCTGTTGTCTCAGTTCCTTTCCGGGACAGAGAGGAGCAGCGGCTTCTCCTGCTGCCTGACGGTGACATTGTGGGGTCTGCAGTGGACGGGGCACTTTGAGACGCGTTAGCATCCCTGCAACCCCTGCCTCCTGCTGTCCCTGACGACTCTTCCATGCGCCATCAGGGCTGGTGAAGAGCCCACATAAGTGAATTTTCCATGATAATCTCACTCCTTCTACTGTACCCACAATTAGTTTCCTGAGCTATTTCTATTGACAAACCTTTTAGAAGTCTAGCACGTGCCTCCGTGTCATCGTCTGCAGCCATCTTGCACCGTGTTATCAAATATCCTATTTCCTATATTTACTTTTTTTGAGCTTGTCTGTTATTTTCTCTGCCAGGTCACCAGCTGCACATCCCAGTGCTTTCATTTTATCATTCTCTTCTCTCCATCGAATTTGCCCCTGCTTACAAGCCCTGGGCTGGGAGGCTAGTTAATCAGATTTGACAATAATTTTATATTAAATTGGCGCTAGCCAATAAGGCTCGGCTGCTGGTGGCGGATCTGTGACTGCTATTTAGGTCGTTCAGTGGCTTTTCACTTAATTCAGGGTAAGGATTCATTTTTGAAGGCTGCCAGAGGTTGTCAGCCTCCGTGTGTAAGGATGTGTGTCTCTGCAGATATACACGCCACACACGTGCACATACATTTTTTAACCATTAGTGTGCATGTTCAATAAAGACTCTGTCCTTAAAGAGGACAAGATGTCTGTAACATGGAACTGAGAAGTGACCACTGATGTGGTTTCCATGTAAACTGAGTCTCTGGAAACCCGTGGCCCACGTCATAAAATGTTACCTATGACAGGGAAGGTTTTCCTCTTCGGTGTGTGACTTCCACGGGGTGCATCATCGAGTATTCAAAGCGCATTTGGTATCTAGCACTGACTTTCCTTGACAAAAGCCCCTGACTCAGATTTGGGATGCCTGCTGAACACACGATGCAAAAGCTAAGAATTGATCCACTGTTCCTCGAGAAGACCATTCCTTGGGGCTCAGCGCTCGACTTCTAGAGTGACTTTCTCAGGAAGGCCAATTTGTAAAACTGCTAATTTCCAACTGCAAACATTTTTCTTTTAAAGACCTTTAAAAATCTCATGAACGCCAAGCATGACCATGATTTGAAAATGATCGGAGAGGAGAGCCGCGCCCGCAGCCCGCGCCAGCACGATACCTGGTGTCTCGCGTGCGAGTTCCTTCGTCCTCGGCTAGAAGCGTTATCAGAAGTACAGGGTGAAAAAGAAGACAGAGTAAACACAGCAGAGACTCCAGATATAGACCCCAGGGTCTTCCAATTTACCCAATATAATGAATTCCTCAAGTCATGGGAAATCAGAACTCCTGCTGTGCCCCACAGCGCGTCTCACCAGGGACCGAAAAGCATATTTTTGTGCCATGTCATTTGCGTGAGTGAAAACGAAGTATTTTATCAGCTTGTTCTTTTCCTTTTTGCACCAATTATGGCTTTTTTTTTTTAATAAAGAAAGAGGGTTTTCTTTTGCCAACATTAATAACGCATTTATCCCCTCTTCTGCAGGCATTCCATCCGAATATTCTTTCCCCTCTGACTTCAGGAAATATTATATTGATTTTCTGGGAAAGCAAAGAGCCCCAGGACAGACTTGGACATAATGACCCGCCTCCTTTTATGAGAGGCCGAGACCATTATGGTCAGACGCGTGGAGGGCAGCCCCCCAGGTGGCTGGTGCCAGTACCTTGACGAATGTTTCCAAATCCCCATTAAACAACTTAGCATTATACTGTGAGCGGGGTCTGGCCTTCCTGTGTTTCTGGGGCTTAGGGGGAACATTTGGAGGCCTACGGGAAGGGAATATAATTACTGAGCATGGCAGAAATCAAACAATAAATGAAACACCCATAGGTCACATCAAAATTGCAAAACACAGGGATTCTTGTGTCCCTCCCCCAACCCTCCCCATGGGAAAGCAGAGCCTCCCCCTCGCCCATTTGTTTGCACTTAGGTTTCAAAAGCCGCACAAGCTACTCATCCAGGCTACACACTCTTCTGGTGCCTCCCGGCTAATGCTTGCTCGTTGGTTAAAATAGGGTATCAACAAATGGAAGCGTAAACGATCTGGCCAAGTGTTATAAATCCAGGTGTGCGCTTACCAGGCTCAAGGAAAACACAGTAGTTTGTAAAAAATTAGGGCTCTGGGGGATCCCAACGTGAGAAGGTAAATGTCATTCTTTTTAGTGACAACATCATTCTTCAATAAAAATATCGTATCTACTCAATATCCCCATAAGTATTGGGGTTTTGTTTGATGCAAAAGTAATAATTAATGGCTCACAGTGAAACCTGGAAAAATATTTCAGTGCCATTTCTGGGGGAGAAGGAGGCGCAGGCTCACGTGAATGATAATTCCTTTAAATCCAGCAATCTCATCGCCCAAGTGTTCGTAGAACATGAGGATGCACCCACATGTTTTGTTCTGGACTGTCCACCTGCTGCTTTGGTGGCCGTGGACGAGCTGGTTTCTCTGACACAGGCACACTTAGGGCACGAGGTGCTGTATTTAGAATCCCGATACCCTCCTGCTCTGTAACTGGAGAGAGGGCGCCTCTGCTGTCCTCTCTCTAGAGACAGGAGGGCGAGGATGCCTGAGCCAACTCTGCAGCTGTGCTGAATGACTCTAGGGACGCAGAGTCTCAGGACTGCTCGCTGGACATTCCAATTTAAGCTCCTCCTTGGCTGCAAGGCTAACGTGGACATGCACGTCACACCTGGGAATGAAACCATTCACCACACTGCCAGCCCTCCAGGAATAGTTACTGCTGTCCAGAAAACACAGGTCAGTTTAGAAACAAAATCTCAACAATTAGCAGGGAGGCTCCACCACCAAAACAGGTAGGGGAGCAAACTTGCTGGTCATGCCTTCCACAGGAAAAGCCTAGGACTCGCCCAGTGGGTGGGCTCCGTGGGTGTGCAGCCGGCAGTACCTGAAGCCTCAGCACTGGCTTGGGAGCTAAAAGGGCTTTTTGCAACCGTCTAGAAGTGATACAGAACCTTCCACCAGCGGCATGTGGTGTCCCACACATTGCTGCCATTTCTGAATTCCTTTTTATACACCAAATTCTGTGCCATTCATGGAGGAAAGGATCTGGTGGGTGTGGGAGGAGCAAAGCCAAACAACCATCCACCGACGAGGTTAACTATACGCGGTTGATTTCATCCACTTTTATCAAGCACGAGGATGATGTTTTCATCACTTTAGAAGCATATTAGTTGTGGGTTTTATTTGTATTCAGGTCAGTAGCTGGAAAGACAATGGTCACTGAGAAGATCGTCTGTTCCTGACAGTTCCAGGGAAGGAGGAAACATCGCCATGAGAGGGCCCATGGGGGTCAGCACATGGGCACGAGGCAGAGGGAAGGAGGGAAGCCTGGCGGCAAGTCTAGACCGTGGCTCCGTACGAAGGGATGGGCAGGGCAGGGGGACGGCTGGGGCTGGCTGGTTAGAAAGTTTTGGTGGGCACCGGGGAACAGCGTTCTGCCCAGTTATCTGACACCTGACCTTCTGGCCCTGTGCACGAAGGCCCGGTGAGGGAGGTCGCTGCAGGCCTGGGCTCTGCATTAGTTGGCTTACAAAGGTGTGCTGCAAGGAGCCCTTACTGTGGCGAGGAATTGGCTAACCTGGGGCGTGGCGGTCCCCATAGTGTCAGCAAGATCCAGATGTATCACAGCATCAAGTACAGAGAACAGAGAGTGTCGCTGTTACTAACAAGGCCCAGCAGAGCCTCACATCTGGGATATCTGGGGCAGCTGACAAAGGTCAGGGATGAGGACCCTCCTCTGGGAGTCGTGCCTCACGGGACAAGCAGATCTCCCTGCAGGGGCCTGAGCCTCCTGCAGCGCTGGATGATTATTCCTGCCAGGCTGAGAGCCGCCGCAGACCCCCTGGCTGGCGTGGGGCAGGATGGCTACTGAGCCTTCCAGCAAAGGCATCAAAACTGCCTTCCCTGATGGTTCTAGATAGTGAGTGAGGCAAATGTGAGGACATTCAAGGTGTGAGAGGGACCTGAGGTTAGAGCAGACTGCCTGCATGCTTCTCAATGTCCACAGCAGAGGTGGGTGACCAGGAGGCCGGCGGCTCCGGTTCCACTCTGCACATGGCAGCTGGACAGAGCCGGGTCATTCAAAACTCCAGCTGAGTGACCTGCCTGGCTCTGTGGCGCCCCACAACTTTCTCATGATCTGGTTTCTTCTTTAGGGTGCCAGTGGGGATGAGAGGAAGTGCCAGCAGGTTGATATGAATATCAAGTCTACTTGGTAATTACAGCTCGCATTGCAAATTAATACATCTGCATTCCTTCCTCTCAAAAAATGCTTTTTGAAGTGACTTGCATGAATTATAATTTATAAATGATAAATAACTGATAGTGCAAGGAGGTATCATATGTGAAAAAGCCCCAGAAGCTGTCTTACTATGTAGAAGTAATATTTTTTCTTGTCATTGACAGAGGCAAAGAAAGATCTCATTATTTTCTTTTGCAAAGTTTAGACAAGTCAAGTTCAGCTGGTTCACCAAGAAATAAGAAAGGCTTGCTTTTGAGTGAACTGCCGAGTAGAAACATTAGCAAATCTTGAAAATCAACCTGCCAATTAATTCAACAGACACACCAGTGTTCTAAATACCTCTTACCTCAAGGAGAACTGAACTTCAAAAGTGCAAAGTCTTGCTATGCCAATTAACTGTTGCACAAACATTGACATCGGAAAATAAAAGTTGCCGCGAACTTTGCCCAACCCAACTAGAATATGCATCCAAAAAGGCTTTTCCTCCTCAGCAGTAACTTCAAAATTCTTTCACGAATAAAAAAAAAGAAGAAAAAAGCGCAACATGGTTGTAGGAATTAGAGTTAAATCTAGCAGGTGAAGTGAGGAGTGGCGGACGGGCACCCCAGGAATACTCGATAAAGCTCTAGTTTTAACGACTTGAGGGAGATGAGGAATAGGAAGTAATTAATCATACTTTCTATCTGCTAACACAGTAGGTATGCAGATGAAATTGCTTGTTAATTAAATCATCAAATCAAAAGTCTCGTCAGACTATTTCTAGAAACGTAAAGTGTTTTGGATGAGATAAAACAAGCCTGTTCAATTAGGTCTTTTTTCACTGAACCTACTCATTAAAGAGCCTGACAAATCCATCAGGAAGTCCTCCTGCCTGTCACGGCCAGCCTGGCCTTGTGAGAGTCCCCAATACTTCCTATTACTGTTTTGCTAAGCCCAAACTATTTTCCATGTTCCTGAACAAAATATGCTTATTCTTGCAGCACTCAGACGGTTGCTTTTTACTAAAGACAGAAGCGAGTGAGACACATGAGTGACGATAAAATATTTTCCTACCTTGTAGTCATATATTCAGCTCTGTGACCTGCAGGGAAAAACATGAAAATAATTTAATGAAACCAATGGAATGCATTGGATAACCTTTTGTATCACCTATCCCTTATTTGAAGAGGGTGGGTTAGTAATAACTTAGCTGTGTCATGGTGGGAAGCACGAGGGTAGCATATAAAGATAGACAAGTAATTCGAAGTCAACATTTGAAAACTTATACACAAAATTTAATAAATGCTATAGTTCAGGAAACATGTTTCACTTGGCAGTTTGAGTCTGGGAGTTTTATTATCAATTATAATAATTACTATTATTATTTAAACAAGCTGCTTGGTCTCCACTGTAAGCTGAAAGATGAAATATAAATAAAACAAATCCAAGATTCAAATATTAGTCACTCTCTTTGTCTTGACTGGTAGTTCTGAGGGGGGAGAGGAAGACCAATAGGGGCGGGAGCGCTCAGTCTGGAATGATTAAGCTGGGGGTCTTTCCACAACACGACATGGGGGAGGAAGCTGCGTTTTATAATCAGAAATGACATCTGCAGATATTAAAGTCTGAGGACATGAAATCATACTACATTACACTAATGGAGCACTCTTATTTAAGACATGAAGCTCTTCGGGCCTCCCTGGTGGTGCAGGGGTTAGGCACAGCACTGTGAAGCTGTACGCAGCCACGAGTTCCATCCCCAGCCAGGGAGCTACCCACATGGTGCAGCAGACCTCTCCTGTCTCCCCCTGCTCCTCTCAGCAGTGGACTTTAGTCAGTCTGCCTGTTCTGTTCCCTACGCTGTCTCTGAATCCTCTCACCCCCACAGCCTGTACCCCAGCTCTTGTATGCATAAATAAATAATCTTAAAAAAAACAAGACTTTTAAGACATGAGGCTCTTCTTACATATTCAGACTTCTTTCTCGTTCTAACGCTCCACACTCTCTCAGTGCTTCTCAGGCTGCACAGGCAACAGCTAATGTCAGAGAGCAGCTTTCTCAAAACCGACCCAAGCTACTGCATGTATTGGTAGAATCAGTTCTCAGCCCTGACCCGGTGAGGAGGAAAATGAAGAATGATTTCCCCCAGTCAGCTCATTCTACCGATCGTGCAACTCTGCACCTTTGGTTTTTTTTTTTTTTTTTTTTTTTTTTTTTTTTACTGATCTTCTGCTACTTTGGGGGAGAAGAAAAGGAGAGGTCACCAGGGGGAGTCGGTAGAATGAGTAAAGTGTTGAGGGCAGAGAACTACTGACTTAGGCTGGCTCCTGCGTCTGTCATGTTGTAGACGTCACTGGAATCTAAGATCATAGCATAAAGCATACCAGAAAAGCAGCATGCCTAATGTTTATTAGACACCGTTCTAAGGACTTTTTATATATTAACCCATAATTTTCACATTCTTTTGACGTAGGGACTATTGTCATTCTCACTTTGCAGAAGACATGGAGCATACAGAAGTTGCGTTTAGACACAGGTAGATTTGCCCAAGGGCCTGCTGCTGACACGTGCTGGGTCTGGCACTAGGGTCCAGGTTATTTATTTGGAGACCTGAATTCCCAAAGTATTCTATTGCAAAAATGAAAGTTTTCCCCAGAAAATATTTGCAAAGATCCCAGAAGGTAGATATTAGTGTTTATGCTTCCGTCTGCGTCATATGGCCAAACCAAACACAAATGCTGAAGATTTAATAAATTAATATAAATTTTTAAATACATTTAATACATATCCTTAAAACTAAATTGAAGAGGTTAACTCACTTCCTAATGATGCAGTGATAAAGATGCTAATAATTACTTATACACGAAATGCTTTATAACTCTGAAATTTTGCTGTTTTTCGTCACTAATATCCCATGATATTCTCTAGATTTAGAAGAAGATCATATGTAAAATGGCTTAAAATCATTCTGTTCCAACCATCCATGGTTAATAGCATGAGATAAAAAATTAAAAACCTATAAAAGATACATTCTGATTAATGAGCCACGAGCAGGGCCTGCAAGCACCATCACTCACCGTGTAACCGCCACCACCACATCTATTGTTCTTTGCAGCTAATAGTGCTGAGTGTGTCTCAACTGATGAATGAGGCTTTATTTTTTAATCAGTATTATCATTAATAGATCAATAACATACAAGCTTAGAAGAATCTGCTTCCCAGAGAAAAGTGAGTGGTCTGAGGATTAGATTTCAATCACTTTCTCTGGAAGGCTACTTAATTATTAAAAACAACAGACACCTCCCCACTCCCAACCCCCAAGAAAGTCATTTGGAAGAAAAAAATGATCCCTGACCCCAGGCTATCGTGTTCGTGGTGCAAACACCTACTTGAAGGATGCTTATAATTTCACCCGAGAATCAGGAGCTGGGTTCTTTTCCACACCTGAATGTATTTCATCTGTGCAGTAAAAGGAAAAACTAAAATATGGCTTAGTGGCAATTTGAGATGAAAAAGCTAGATAAAATATTTAAAACGTGCCCAGCTCAAGCGGAACAGAGGCGCTCGGGACTTGCTCCCTGACAGATAAGGCTTCCTGGGTCACCGGCCGGTCCTTTTTTTCCCCTTAGATGCCAACTCCTGCGATGCTTCAATACAAAATGTAATGATTCACAATCAGCTTCTCTCTGAAAGGCTATCTGCACCCTACTCACAGCCATGGGATGGACTGTGTGAGGATAACTCGTCTCGTTCTTCGTCAGAACGCTCCTGCCCGGGGCTGGAGACAACGTGGCACGGTGCTTGGCTTCCAGTGTTTGATTTTCTGTTTGGCAAAAGCGCGCTGATATTTTCACTCCCCTTAACCACCAATGTTGCGCACAAAGAAGCCAATGTGAACAGAGGCTCGTTGCTCAAAAAAAATCCAGTGCCTCGGTTTTATAGATGTGCGTCTCACGTTTACTGGGCTTGACTTAACTTCCCCGACTGAAAAACAAAGGACATCACGTGAGGATGCTACGGTGCTGCTGCAGGCCGAAGAGTGTGAGGTTGTGGCCTGAGAGTTCATCGTGTGCTTCTTTCTGTTTCAGTTGTTCTCAGAGATTTAGAATTTTGAGTTTTGACGGTGCTGCTTTTTTTTTAATTAAAAAAATTTATTATTATTTTTATTTTATACATTGTTTACATCATTTTTCATTTCTGCACAATGTATGCCTTTTCATCTTGGTTATAGTCCCCAGACAATTCCCACCCCCCTTGTTTTGATCCCACTCCCTCCTCCCCCCGTGTAGTGTGTCTCTGCTTTATAGTTGCTTGTTGATTTTGATTTTTACTTTATTATAATTAGTCTTTTTCCTGGTCCCTTATTTAGGTTTTCTAGATTCCTGCTATGAGTGAGACCATCCGGGATTTTTCTTTTTCTTTCTGGCTTATTTCGCTGAGCAGGATCCCTTCCAGCGCCATCCATGTTGCTGCAAATGGCATGAGTTTATCTTTTTTGAATGCTGAGTAATATTCCATGGTGTATATGGACCACAGCTTCCATAGGATCCAGCAATTCCACTCCTAGGTATTTACCCAAAGGACACATAAACATTAATTCAAAAGGGGCACCTGCACCCCTGTGTTTATAGCAGCACTGTTTACAATAGCTAAGCCCTGGAAACACCCAAATACCCAAAAACAGATGACTGGATCAAGAAGATGGGGTCCATATACACGACGGTGCTGCTTTAAGGGCTGAATCCAGTTACTTCTCAATGTTGTAAATCAAAGGGTTTACTGGGCAGCTGTTGCCAGCCAAGAGCTAGCAGAAGGCAGGCCAAGCATGTGTCTTCAGCGGCAGTGGTAGCTGGGGACGGTCAGCTGCCAGATCCTGGGCGAGGCTCTGCTTTACTATGAAGGTGGTTTCTGAGCAGCGAGTCTACATGGACACCCCTCAAGGATGAGGATTTCCATGTAGAGAGTTAGGGCTGTCCCCACACAGCCCACTGACTCCTGTGCCACTAACCTGGCTGAGCCTGACTTGACCTGGAGGCCTAACAAGGACTCACCGTTGGGTATTTCTTTCTTCTTTTTTCTTTAAAGATTTATTTATTTATGCATACAAGAAGTGGGGTGCAGGCCAGAGGTGTGGGGTGAAGGGACTCCCCAGAGACAGAGTGGGGAGCAGAACAGGCAGATCCACTGAAACCCACTGCTGAGGGGAGCAGCGGGGAGACAGGAGAGGTCTGCTGTGCCATGTGGGTAGATCCCTGGCTGGGGATTGAACTCAGTGGCTGCTTCATAGTGCTGTATCTTAACCCCTTGCGCCACCAGGGAGGCCCCAAAGGTAAAACAGTATCAGTGGATTCCCATTGTTATATGAATTTCCTCTCTGGTTCTTTTTTGCAGGTTAGGCCATGAGGGCGGCCAGGTGTCCGGTGGGCAGCGTGGACGGGGCACCCTCTCCCGGGGCTCCAGGTGAGGAGCAGCGGTCGGGCCAGGGCTGTTGTTTTTTATGTTCAATTATTTAAGAGTAAATCACAGACATCATAATACTCTGTAAGCGTTTCTCAAAAATAAGAATGTTCTCCTTTGTAGCCACACATTACCCCATCGGGGGAAAGGAACAGTGATCCAATATCACGCAGGGCACAGTCTACTTACATTTCCTCATTTGGACTTAAAATGCCTCCAATAATTTTTGCATTTTGGTTCAGAATCTAATGAAAGTTCTTATGTTTGGGTAATTAATTATTTAATTTAAACGTTCAGGGAACTTTGTTTTTAAAGGATAAATCAAGCAAGAAATGGCTTTCACTGGCTCAAATATGCACCATCTATTCTTCCATGGATTATATTTATATGTAAAATTCATATGTATATTTAATACATCTTTTAGTAGTTTAAGTGTTAATTTTTTTCCTAAGTGAAGTTGATTTTCCATCTTGGAATGTGGTGTCCTAACTGCAACACACGGAGCCTCAGGCCATTCTTCAAGTGTCATTTCCCAAGGATAATGGGCTCTTTGAGGAAATGAGGAGATAAGGTGATGGAAACACATAGGAAACGTATGTGTTCATGGGTAGGGCAGTTTCTAGAATGGCAGGAGACAAGAGTTTCGTTCAGTAGCAAAGAGTTTCTCTTGGCCTGGGTTCCTCACACACGAGCACTTCATTTTCCGCTGTATCCTACTTCATTTTTCACTTTTATGACTTCCAGCAAGATGTCAGCGTGACTAAAAAATAAAGTTATAGAGGATGCGGTCCTTGAGGCAGGGACTCGGCTTGTATTTATTTTTTCCTTTTAAATTTCATGAAAATGAGAAGAGAATAAATTTTATAAAGGCCTCCTTTTCCTATAATCCTCCTCTCCATAAGACGAGGGAAAATAATAGCTCATTAAATACAGAGCTCAGAATAATGCTTGGTAGAGAAAGCCTTATGTAAGGGTAGGCACTGATATTTTTGTTATTATTATTAGAGATTAATTTTTTCTCAACCCAAACCAATTTGGGTTGAGAAAAAAATCACCCAAACTGGCTGAACTTGTTTCTAGAGTCCGAAGGCATTAGATGGGACAGCAAATACTGGTCCGGTCCCATGAACGGGGCGGGCTGGAAGGATGGAGAAGCCAAGAGGGAGGGGAGTGACTGGGTTGGCAGTTGCGAGCAGGTGCGGCTCCTGCAGACTCTGCTGCTGTCCCCACCACCACGTTCGCAGTGCTGGCTCTTCAGCCCTCCCAGCCCGCCAGTCTCTCCAAGGCTAGCATCAGCTTATGAAGAAAATAGCTCCAAGGATAATCTTAGGACTACAGGCACAATAAAAGCCAAATCTGAACATCCAGTGTGCTCTGCTCCTTCAAGCACAACGCCACGGTGCACAGTCTTCACGGACACGTCTCTAACGCAGCACACATGCTACCACCACCGCGACGCCAGGCCACCGCCTGACCATCCAGATAACTGACCTTCTCCAAGGGTCCTCTGCAACAGGTCGTGTTTGGCTTGGAGTTTTGTGATGAGATTGCTACCTTCCAAGTATTCTCTGAGTTTCTGCAAAAGGAAAGATCAATTTTTAACTTAAAATCATTCCATTTCCAGGCACTTCCCACAGGACACATAAAAACCCAGCCCCTTTCTCTTTGAGAGCTAAGGCTGGTTACTCAGTGTATGGTCTGCGGCCCGGGGGCCTTGGTCATCACCCGGGGGCCTTGGTCATCACCCGGGAGCTAGACGCTCGGGCCCCTCCCTCCCCAGGCCGACTGAAAGCAGAGCTTGCATGTTAACAGCTTCTTCTGGTGTCGTGTTTGCACGGTAAGTGCAAGGACGGTATGAACGTGCTCTGTTTCAGGCCAAGTCTCTCCGTTCTCTTTGGTAAATCTGTTTGCCTACCAACAATTACCTGGAGGGCTTTTTAAAGAGAACGGACCCCAAACCCCATCCCTGTGCAGCTGAGCGGGAACGCAGAGGCTAGACAGGAGCCCACAGCATGACCGAGATTCCCCGCTGACGCTGGGGCAGCGCCAGAGGCGGTGTCTGGGGACCCCGAGCTGAGCCCTGAGTGGCGGAGGAGCCGCGCACCATGAAGTAGAACTGCTCGGTCTCCTGCTGGTTCGCCCTCCTCTTGGCGATGCTGGGCTTGCTCAGGTAGGTTTCCGAGACGGTCGACTTCACCGACTCCGTGGAGCGGCTGTGCTGGAAGCATTCGGACACGTCGTAGTCCTCGATGGTGACCATGTCCTGTATTGTCTGCAGGGTGGCTTCTGTCGTCTTCTTAACCTGGGGACAAAACACATTTTTCTCATGTTCTTACTATTCCGTGAATCCACAAACACTCCCTGAGAGCTGCCTCTGTCGGGCAGAGCTGGCGACTCGGGCCCTGCCCAGCTCAGCATCTCTGAGGGCAGAGGGAGGTGACTCGTGGTTTTGTTCAAAATTACTTTGAGAATATCAGTCTGTACCGGGGTGCCCAGACCCTCGTGCACCACTGGGCTCTCTCTCCACCAGTTTTCCTTGCGTGCATCCACTGCAGCTGAGGTGAGACTCCATGGAAAGACGCAGGTGACCAGGGTTGAGTTCTCACCCAGGGCACACACTGAGGTGACCATCACTCAGACCAAGAAATAAATACCCCAGGGCTTCTCCTAACAACCACAGACCCTGTCTCTCCCCAAAGTTAACCATTTTTCTCGTTTCTAACACCATTTAACAGGTGGACCTGTTTTTGCGCAGGAGACATGCTAACCTTCTCTGTCTTGTCCTCGTTTTAGTATTTGTGCCGCCGAAGTGAGTCCAGACCTGCCTTTTTTGGTTTGTACCTAATCTAAGCAGAATGCTCCAGCCTGGGTGGTTTTGCTCCACGTGTGTCGTAAGATTTATTCATTTCTTGTGGGTTTCGTCACTGAACATGCCCTGTCAGGATCCATCACAAGTCACGCTTTTGAACCACGAGCCGCCGACAGATGACTCATTTCTGGTTTGGGGCCACTATGAACACTACTGGTCTGAACACACTTTTGGGGGACCACACATTCATGACCACACTGCCGTTTACAGGATAGAAACTACAACAAATAAACAGAGAAAATTATTATTCTAATTCGTATTTCCACCGCAGGGAGAATTCCTGTCATTCCACGTCCTCAACAGCTGATTCTGTGAGTCTCTAGTTTCCACCGCTGTGGGGTGTGTGCAGGTGTCTCACTTCGCTTTCAACAGGATTTTGCTGCTGGCAGGTATCAAGCAGGCTGCTCGTGTGTGTTTAAGGCATCTGGCCTTCTTTTGGAAGTAGTTTATGCAATTCATTTGCCCAATTTTCTACTGGTTTGAGTCTTATTGATTTGTAGATAAACGGATATGAACATTGTGTTTGTTATTTGTGTTGCAAATTTCCTTCCCCACTCCGTAGTCTGGCTTTTCCCTCGTTCTACGCTGTCCAGATGAACACTCTCTAATTTGAATGTAATAAATTTACCTTCCTTTGTGGGTTCATAAAGAACTCTTTATAAGTTCTTCCTGTTTGTATTCTATTTAGAAATATATTTCCCTATCTCATGACCATAAAGATACTGTTCCATGTTATCTTCTAGAAGCCTTTCGAAGTACCTTCCCGTGTAATTCAAACCCCACCTTTGCTTATCAAAGTCTAATGTAAAGTGATAGTTTTATCCTTTTCCTGGACAATGCACTTCTCCTGATTCAGATAATATTTTTGTAGTATATGATGTCAGGATATGTGTTTACGTATGTTTAGATAGACGACATTAGCTCTTGTTACATAGTATACATTTAACTTTATCCATGTATTTATTTTATATTATATTTATATTGTTATACTTAGATTTATCCGTGTATTTATTACCGTCTGATGGCTCTCTGTTATATTTTTATTGTTATTATTTTTGGTTGGACAATAGTCTACGAGTGCCTCCTCTCTCTACTGTCAGTTTCTAGGGCACTTTTTCCACTTGAAGATCTTCTGTGTTAGCCCAGGAGGATGGAGGCAGGAGGGGGACAGCTGACAGCTCACTGAGACTCAGGGGGCCGCTGCAACTGTCCTAATAGACCAGAAGCTGCCCCCCCATATGCAAAGGCAGGATGGGGAAGGCCCTGGAGCTGCTTTGCCATCCTTGGTCAGACTGCAGAGTTGACGTGACCCTGCTCCTGGCTCCAGACAAGCCTGGCGCCGTCAGGGATTGCTCTGTTCTCCAAGGACTAATGGAGACATGTCCTTCTGCGCCCCCAGAAGCAGACCCACCAACCTCAGTCCAGCTGTGGATGCTATCACCTGGTTCTAACACCTCCTAGAGACGGTCAGGGCAGGCACATCTTCCCGGGGGCCTCCAAAAGACGAATCGACTCGTGTCCCCAGAAGCGGGGCTACCAACCGGACCCCAACGTCATAGCTTGAAGCAGCCCTGCTCCCAAGGGGCCCTCTCTGCCCTCTCCCTCCTGCCAGGGCTGTGGACAGAGAAGCTTGTCTGTCCCCTGAGGCCGCAGGCATCGGCCCTGGCCATGGGCCTGGCACGGACTGTGGCTTAGCTGGAACTGTGTCCGGCTGGGTTCTGGGTCTGTTCTGCCCCCAGAAGCCTGTCCTGTGCCCTGGTGGGGCCACACCTGTCAAGACCAGGCAGCAGATGCCCCGTGTGTGGACCAAGTGCAGACGCTGGGGCGGACCGTGCTCTGGGGAGCAGCACCATCTCCCCGAAGCCCGGCAGGATCCACTCCCAGGAAGCCACACTCCCAGGGCCCCCACGGTGGCCCCAGCAGCCGTGCTTCCTTGTCAAGGCCAACAACATTGTTTTCCTTCTTTTCCCAGCAGCAAGGATGTCACAATTGGGTTTGGAATTGGCAGGAAGAGTAAAGGCTGTGGCAGAAGCCACCAGTCGTGCTGGCGGGGACACGCGCCATCCCCGGGGCCCGCTCCACACAGAACAACACCAGCCCCTGCTCCCCGCGGGCCGCGCTAATCAGTCACCGGGGACACGACCGGGTGGATAGGCCGCAGCGCACACGGGCTGGAGATCGGTCTCCATCAGCAGCAGGAAAATGCAGTTGGGTTTGGTGGAAGGAAAGGCCAAATCGTGCCAAGAGGTTATGAAAAACCCGGAGGAGCGTCTGCCCTGGAGGAGCCGGCCTGGCCTCCGAGAGAAGGATCAGGACGCGCGATGGGGAGAAGCGGGCCTGGGGCCCGCTGGGCCCGGCTCCTCTCCCGGGGCGGCGCAGCGCTGGGAAAAACAAGACACTCGCGTCGGGGTCTCGGCCCCCAGCCCCGCTGGGTAGCGAGTCCTCAGCGCCTCCCACGCGGTCTTAGTTTTCCCGCGTCACAGACCACGGGGAGAACAGACACCCCCGGCTCCCAGCTCAGGAGGCCGGGCGCGGGGCAGGGCGCCGCCAAAGGCCCACGGAGCGAGGCGGGAAGGGGAAGTCACCTCCCCTCGCGCGCCCGCGGTCACAGAAAGGGTCGGCACACCCGCCGCGCGGCCTCCTGCCGAGCCCCCCGAGAGCCACCGTCTCCCTCAGAGGCCCTGTCCTCGCCACCTGGCCTTCTCCTGAGGGACGGCCTTGCAGGCGCTGACGCTTACCCCACACACGAAATCCCAGGCGCTGCGTCTAGAACACATGCTTCCAGCCGAACGTACTTGATCCTATTTTCAGTGTTGGCTGAAACGATGATATTATGCCACAGCACAAGGGGCAGCCGTATGACGTGAGCTTCTGCTGTCCCCGCGTCACTACAGCAGGCTGCCGGCAGGCCAGATACTCGAATCAGCGAAGATGAGTGGAAAGTCACCGAGAAGAAAGTCTGACAAGGCGATTGTGGTGACGTGGTGTCAAGCTCCGTCCACATCTCTGAGCAAGTCTCAAGAGAGTCTGTGCATTCCCAACAGGCTTGGCGCCTTCACTTCCAGCCGGAGACCCTGCTGCAGTCCCTGGCACTGGGCAGGAAAGGGGATTTTCCTGCTCTCAGTAGGAGTCACGTGCAAAAGCTTCCCTCCGTTACCCATGCCGGGAAGCTGTCTCAAATGCTTGCCTAAAATTTTGCTTATTTTTTGAAAAAGATTTATTTATTTATGCATACAAGAGCTGGGGTACAGGCCAAAGGTGGGGGGTGAGAGGATTCCCCAGAGACAGAGCGGGGAGCAGAACAGGTGGATCCACTGAAACCCACTGCTGAGGGGAGCAGCGGGGAGACAGGAGAGTCTGCTGCGCCCTGTGGGCAGCTCCCTGGCCGGGGATCTGGGGACAGCTTCATGGTGCTGTGCTTAACCCCGTGCGCCACCAGGGAGGCCCCAAATCTTGTTCATTGTTATCTAAAATACCTTTGTGAGGAATAAGATTTTGGAATTGTCTCTGAAATACTCCTTAGTAAGCTGTTGGTGGAGGATTTTAAGCAGCGGTGAGAAAATTTATAGGTTCATTAAACATTTTTGAAAATCAGTGGCGGAACTGCAGGCTTCTTTCTCTCCCACTCTCTTCAGGGGAGCACATCTATCAGGGCTTAAGAGAAACCAGTTGCTTTATATGAGAGAAGATTTTACTCACAGCACAGACATGGCAAGCCATGAAAGCTCTATTTTCTGGACCAAATATTGAGACAAATGATCTGAAAATAGGGCAAGCAAGTGGAAACTAAGGCTGCCATAACAACAGAGAAAGGCATAGTTGCTTCCATAATTCATTTTTCTTTTTTCTTTGACGGGATGCAGGTAAAGAGAGGAAAGAGAACTGTAAGAAAATGGCAATGCAATCTCTGGGGAATGACCCCAAAGGCTTGCTTTGAGAGAGGAGCAAAAGGCGTGAGTCCTGCGTGGAAATCCCTATGGCAAGGGTGCAACGTGGGTGGACAAGACTGTTACTTTGGATTACAAAGAGTCTGGAAAATGTTTATCATGAGAAAGGTAAAAATGATCATTTAAATTTACGTTGCTTTAAAGTGCCACCTTTGAATGTATTCTTCATTAATGTTCAGACAGGAATTTAGACTTTTAAGTAAGAAAAAGAAAATTTAGGAATGAAGTGGTTTGCGCAGCAGGCCACACTCTAATTCTGTGTGTGACGCCTGGTGGACAATGATAAAGATTTGTTCACCGGGTCACTGGAGATCAGAGCTGTGAGACGGAGGCACCACGTGCAAGTTTGCAACATAACGAACTCGAAGCTCCTTTTAAAGTAAAGTGACAATAAATGTCACAACCCATATGAATCTGCATCCACCAGAAGTTCAATCTAGCCCGTCTGGAACCTTTACTATAGTAAAACGTTTTGGCTTTCATTATAATTTTAGTACTTTTACTTTATTGCCTTTATTACTTCTGTGTTTACTGAGGCCGTTTCACAAAAGCTTATAGTTCCTCGTAGATTGAAGGCAGGGGCTACAAATGCAAATATCTACAAGGACCCAATACATAATGAAAATGATGCAAGTGGGCTGAGTGGGGAGTATGGCACACAGGAGACTCTGTGTCTTAATGGGAGATTTCATTGCTCAATTCCAGTTCATCACTGTTGTGCAGAAAGGCAGGTCTAGCGTGGTCAGACCTAAATTTTTAGAAGCTGAAATTTGATTTTTTAATGCACTATTTCTAATTTTTTAAGTGGCAGAACACATTTTTGAAAATCAAGCACTGTAGAACAAACAAAATGTGTCCATGGTCAGATACGGTCTTTGGGCTCTTAACACAGAAGCCCCTTTGAAGCGGCCCCTACGGTTTCACATGGTGCCGTTATTTACAATTGTCTGAGTGCGGATGAAGAGGCTCGTGTTCTGCTTTGCTGGACCATACACACTTCGTAACTTTGACGAAATTCTCCCTTAACTTTAATTTTTTCACTGTGCAGTCAATTATTTTTAGTTAACCGAATTCTTTCCAGCAAATTCTGGACTTTGAGTGTATACATGTTTGTGCAGAGGCAAAGCCTTACACTGCTGATACCTGTGGGGCTTTACTTGCGTATTTTGGTGTGATCCTAGTGTGCAAATTTTCTCTGCTTTTGTCATCGGTGTAGCAGAGGCAAATTCCTTATATGTGGTCAAGAAAAACACCCTTTGGGGACTCTACATTCGCAACGATTGGTGTGTGGCCCCAAGTTATGTCTGTGTCTGCCGTGACACGAATGGTGTGCGCCACTGTCTCTCACGCCATCAGGCGCCCATGTGACCTCCTCGTCCCCTGCTCGCCACACCTGACAAAATGTGTGAACTCTAGAAGTTGCCCAACAAATATTTCTTTCACTGAAACAAACTGACCCACAATTTTAAAACGATTTATTGGTTCTCAAGTCTTTTTACCCCAGGACGCCAGCTTCCTGCAGCTACAGCTCACCCCCAAGGGGGACTCAGGTGAAAACCAAACTGTTCCGTTCTCCCAGGAACCCTGAAATACACTGGAATGTTTTTTTCCTCCTTCCACACCTAATGAAATTTCTGATGATCAAAAGTCCAATATAAATCTTATTTTTGTTGGGCGTCCCACCCACACCGCGCACTGCCCCCCAGCCGGCAGAGCACGACCTGCTAGTTGTGCTCATAAGAACCATCAGGATGATCCAATTCATTCATTTTTTATTGTGAAATAAAAAAAAAAATTCGCCCTCAGGAAGCACTGCCTGATTCTTCCAGTTTATAAGGATACGGGGCTTTTCCAGATAAGCCCCAAGAGCCTCCACTGAAGGAAAGAAACCCCAGCGACAGCTGAGGCCACGCAGGTGACACGACGGGCTGGTGCAGCACGGGAAGGACCTGGGCCGTGACGGACGGGGAGTCTGAACACCCCGACTCCTCACGCCTCGGGGCTCTGCAGGACCCGCGCCCCCAGCCCCCCCCCCCCAGTCAGTGGTCCAACTGCAGGTGCCAAGCAAAGCAGACCCCAGGGCTGCCAGCTTCGACCTTGTGAATAACACATTTCCCTGCAGTCTGGAGAATGTTTCCAAAGCAAAGAGCAGAAGGATACGCATGAGAAAAACTGGAAGTCGCCACACACACAGCCCGGTTCAGCACACTGCACAGGCGAGTGTGCCGTGGGGCACACGCCGAAGCACAAACACACTCAGGGAGAGCAACAGCTTTTTGCTGGAAAGGCTCATTTGTGGGGCTTTTCACAGACCGAAGTCTTCAGTTCTATCGGCTGCATCTTAAACACACACGTCTGAACAAGCCGTGGTTTGGTTCTCCTACAAAGAATGGAAGCCAGACAGCTGCAAGGGTTTGACCAAACTCCACGGGTCTAGAGACGTGTCACTTTCTTAACAGAGCGGACACGGGTGTCGCCAGAACCCCCTGAGATGAACACAACAGCGGGCACCGAGGTGAATCTGGTCATTTACTTTGCTGAGGAGAATCACTGATTGTTCTCCCCTCTGCCCAGCACGCCCCCCTTTTGGGGGATGATTTCTCTCTAGAAAAACACGCCTCCTGTGCCCGGCCATCACAGGTGCCCACGAGCGGGCACGAGGTCCAGGCTGGCTGTCGGAGAGATCCCGCCTCCCGGGAGCAAGGCGGGTGGATCCCGTGTCAGAGGGGAGGGAGCCAGAGTGGGGTGCGATGACAAGCTGGGGGCTGTGGGGGTCTAGATCTCCAGGAGCCAAGTACATGGGGGAACCGCCAACACCCACAGAGGTAAAGGGACGCAGAGAAATCCCTGATAATGTCATCTGAGCAAAGGCCAGCCACGCCCGAGGCTCCTGCAAATACGGACTCATACGCTAACTTTCTCACGGCAGCGAAGTTTGATTTGGGTGCCTGGAAATTACAACTGAGCCTGGACTAATACAAGAAGCATTTGCGCTTCACATTTTTTGTTTTCTGAGAACATGGATCCTGTTAATTTTTTTTCAGAAAGAGGCAGCTGAACCGTACGACTCTTTCCTGGCTCCACATGCATGTGCAACTCACAGTGTATGTTCTACACATTTAAGTCTGATGTCAGCAATTAAGCATTTTCTTGCTCTCATTCACAGTATTATTTTAAACTAGAACTTTTGTGCTAATAGTAGCCGTAATGCCATGTTCGATACCGAAAAATCTAGAGAATACAGAAAAGCATAAAGAAAAAAACCACTAGTTTCACAAGTGAGGGTTAATGTGTCAACCAAAAGTTGCATTCCACACGACCGCGTGCTCTGGGATCCTTGCTGGGTTTGTTCACTCCCGGGACACGAGCTTAGTGTCAAGCACGCGTTTGAGACTAAGCACGTCCATATGTGCTCGCAGGGAATCCCTGCTAAAGTAGTTACCGATGGCAGACTGCAGACTCTGCGTTTATTTTCCAAAAATAGTATCTTAGGAATCCTGATTGACTTGCAAATGCAGGATGCAAAGACTGCGCCCAGGACGCTCCAGTCTGCATGGACTCAGGTCCGGGGGCGGCCGGCACGCTTACCTCCTCGTTCTCGATTTTGAGCGTGGCCAGTCGGGACTGCAGCTGCTGGTACCTGAGCACGAGCTCCGCCTGGACCGGCTGCTGGGCGCTGACCTGACACACCTGGGGAGGAATCGGAAATGGCTGTTACCGAAGGAGCCGCCCAGCCTGCCACCCTGGCCGGCTTCCCTGTTTAAATGTATGAAGCCCACACTACAGAGTCCAAGCACGTATTTACTTTCAACAGCCGCCTCGAAACTTCAGTTTTAAATGTAGACTGTTCCAAGCGGCAGGGCAGCGAGCAGCTGCTTGGCCGGGAGCTGACTGGCGGGGACAGCTGGGGAAGCAGCACCCAGGCAGGGCGGCTGCCGGAGCCCGAGCTCAGGGCGCGCAGAGGCTGGCCTGCGCTGGGCAGAGGGCAGAGGGCGAGGGCGGCCAAAGGGACATGTACTACTAGTTAGTGTCAGGCAGGTGACTGTGCAGGCTACTTAGTTTCCTTCCTGTAAAGCGGGGTAATGAGAGTTTCTGCACCACAGGGTTGTTTGGGGGGCGGGGTGTGGACTGAGATGCTGTACACAAAGCACTTAGAAAAAACTCAGAAAAGGTGAACAACTATTCTTCGCTCTTTCGCCCATGGCTTGCTTTGGTGGGAGGCACATATATCAGGTGATTAACTAAGAACTTCAAGAGACCCCTCACGGTAGTTGGTAGAAAGATATTTGGGCCATGATCTCAATTACGCCTAAGGGCAAAATCAGGGTGTTATATTCAGACTGCACCAGAAACAATCTCTTCTCATCTCGCTTGCCACAGGAGCTTTGGCAGATGTGCGTTCCATTTATGGAGTCTTTAAAGTATAATAAAGATTATTGCATCCTGGCAGAACTGCCCATAAAAAGAAGACCAAAAACTCACTTTATTAAATATAATAAAAATTAAAAGGTAGAAAACCTATGAATCCCATTGGTGTTACTTGTCTGTGATACTTTATCACTCTATGTTGTGACGTATGCTTCATTAAAAAATTAAACAGCAACCACCTGGTTTTGGAAACATAACTCAGAGTGGATTAAGCCACTCGGTTGTCAAATTCATGTGCTATTGGTATAAAAACTGCTTACCATTTCTAATCAAGTGATTCTTTCTACCAAATCAAGCAAAAAGACTTAGATTAGAAATACAGTCGGTACAAATACAGACTTATGAGTCTTCACACTAAACATTTTAGAAAAAATTGTGACACTAAAGAAATCTGCCACGGATCGTAACTGACATCTATTTTTAAAAACATATGGTCACCACTATAAGCTCAAATTGATTTTTTAATCTGTGAGTATTGTTTCGCACAGCTGGGACTCCAAGCGCTATATACAGTGTATTCCATTATTGGTTCTTCTATCTTCCTCACTGCAGACAATAGAATACACCACTGACTCTCACAATCACTGTAAATGGAGTTTTCGCCCCTGGGTAAAGGAAGCGGAGGCATACTCTCTCAGTCCTAAGGTTCATTTTCTCAATTTGGAGCCAGCTTGAATCTTAAGCTGTCTTGCGTTTTTTTCCTTCGGTCATTTACATTTCCTGCCCTTTATTTCTCTTTATGGGAATCTTTAAATCAGAATGACAGGAAGTCCAGAGACATTCTATTAGACCAGAAAAATGTTTTGTTAGACTTTGAATTTAAACCTGAATGTCTTGATATCTAAAGAGGTGTCAACCTATTCTCTGAAATCATACACAGTGTCGGGTATGTGTTACTTAAATAATAAACAAACAAATAGATAAACAAATAAGTTTGACTGTCTGGAAGTGGAAGGAAAAAAATCTAGCTATCCTGGGACAGTGCAATGCTTACACACCAGTGAGCCTGCATCTTTATCGGCAGACATCGGAGTGTTTTCCCCTTGCTTTAAAAGATAGTAGGGCCTGATCTACGCTAAGATCCCACATCAAGGAGGGAGATACCAATTGGAATTCTCAAAACTGTTACAGGTGAAGAGAAATGCAAGTGAACATACGATTCACTGGTCTTAAAATAATCAAGCGCTGACCTCATCACCCATGTGAGACTGAAACTCAAACTTCACGGGCGGACAGAAGGCGGCAGGAAACATCTCCAGCAACCTCTGCTTGTCACTCCGGGGCTCCAGGTTGTCCACCGCGTTCTCGATAATGTCCAGGCCTTCGTGTCTGGAGGTTTCCAGGTTGTACTCCGCAGAGAGGTATGTTCTCAGAGCTCTGTTCAGACTTGCGTGGTAGCCAAGGTCACAGCACTTCAAGCCCAAAGAATGCAATATAAAAAATTAACTCAAAATGGATCAAAGACCTAAATGTGGCAGCGACAACTATCAGTATAAAATTCTTAGAAGGAAGCATAACGGTAAAGTGTGATCCTCTTGCATTAGGCATTGGTTTCCTGGACAGAACATCAAACATGCAAGCAACAAATGAAAAAATAAACTGAATTGCATCAAATTGATGGCTTTTGTGTTTCAAAGGACACTACTGAGTGAAAAGTAAACTCGAAAATGGGAAAAAAAAATTGCAGATCATATCTCTGATAAAGAATTGATATCTAAAATAGATTAAGAACTCTCACAATAACAAAAAGAGTCCAATTAAGAATGGCCAATGGGTCTGAACAGGCATTTCTTCAAAAAAGATCAAACAAATGATCATTAAGTCTAGGAAATGACGTGCAGAGTCATCAGGGAAACACACATCACAGCCACAAAGACGCCTCTGGACGGCCACTAAGATGGTTATAACCAAAGGACAGAACAAGTGTGGGAGATGTGCAGGCATCGCAGCCTCGTGCACTGCTGATGAGAGCAGCATGCAGCACGTTGGAAACAGCCTGCAGCGCTTCTGAGGGTGAAGCTTTAGTAAAGTCAACATCTAACTTGGTGATTTCACTCCTCGGTGTAAATGCAAAAGACATGAAAACACATTTTCACACCGAAACTCACACATGAATGTCATTACTCATCAAAGCTGAAGAATGGAAACCACCTAAAAGTCCATCCACCAATGAATAGCAGAAGGAACTATTACCCAGTCATAAAAAGGAACGAGGAACTGTACAGGCTGCAGGATGGATGGGTGCCAAGACGTTATGCTACGATGAAAGCCAGTCACGAGTCCACACATTGTATAATTCCATTACATGAAACGTCCAGAATGGGCAAATTGAGAGGGACAGAAAGAGCATTAGTGTTCCCTCAGGCTGGGCGGTGGGGCAGCTGGACAGTGAGTGCCCAGCAACGTGGGACTTCTTCCTGGAGTAATGAAAATGTTCTAAAATTGATCGTGGGAATGGTTTACTCTTTGACTGCACTACCAGCTAATTACAGGCTTTTAATGAGAGAACTGTACGGTACATGTTATCTCAATCAAGTTATTAAAAATAAAAGAAGTCAAATACTGACAGGAAAGAACAACGACAACAAAAAACCTCTTAGGTTTTCTTCATGCATACCAAGATGGGTCCAGTGATTCACTGAAATCTTCTAAGATGCAAATATACTACTGTAATAACTTGGAAATGTGTAATTTGCTGAAGACTCAAGAATGCTCTGTACTCTTTCAAAAGTGAGAAGTACTGGCTTGACTATGACAAAATATCCTTATTTTTGTCCCTAAAATAAAAATCCTAACAAATGATTGTGAAAGTGCTTTCATTGGAGATAGAACTCTGTTTAGTATGGCTAGAAGTAAAAGGGTTTTTGCAATTTCAGAAACTTCACAACCCTTAGTTTATATTTGTCCCTATTTTTTCATGTTGTGTTTTAAGAGAATATAATTTTAAAAAGAACATACCTCTGGGTACTAGCAAATTACCGACAGACTTTTAAGTACGTACATGAAGCCCATGAATCTCTTAAAAAAAGAAACAAGTGGTTCTAAAGGTACAGAGCGGGCCGTCCTTATATTGTTCTAATGTGGTTCAATCAATTCAATTTTTTTTCGATTCAACTCTCTAATCAGCTCTCCACTTGGTGCTTGGAAATAGGCTCCAGGAATATGAAGACTGAATCACTGTAAAATATAACTGCCATCCTCAAAGAACCCAAATATTAGCCGTTCATTAGTTTGCTTCTAGGAGATCAGTAGAAAGGGCACCGAAGCAGCAACCTTTGTGCAAGGGTTGTGTCCAGCAGGGCATGAACCAACAGAAGTGCCTTTCGGAAGGTACAAATTCAATCACTGGTTTGTCCTTAGAAATTCTCATGTATTTAATTCCACCCCCAACCTGCAATTCCAGAATTATTGTTTGGGATTTTTAGATAATACTCTAAAATCTTGCTGTTTGAAGCCTGGTCTGTGACCAGCAGCAGCACTGGCGCAGAATCTTGGGCACCATCTACTCAATTAGAATCCTTAGTTTAAAAAAAACAAAATCCACAAGTGCTCCACACACATGCCAAAGTTTGAGAAGCGCTGCGCTAAACCATCAAGTAGAAGGGTCCTGAAGCCTGCCCCTGGGGATGCTATTTCTCAAATAGGCCAAAGAATCGACTTGGTTAAAGATTTTTTGATTTAAAAAATCAGAAAGTAGCTGCTACAACACAATCAGAAATGTAAGCAAACCAGCAAACTGCAGCAATCAGTCTCATCATGAACACGTTTCCAGCGGAATCAGCTGCGCTCAAAATAGAGAATGATTCATTTTCAGTTAATTAATCTCAGATGAGCAAAGACCGCTTTTATTCCTCTTGTTCCTCAAAATCCAAAAAAGTTCTGTGCAGCAGTTTCACGCACAAAAGAACTGAAAACTTATTCTATCTTTTAATAGCATCTCATTTTAGGCAGGCGTGAATTTGTAAAGGAAATAGGCAAATTTCTCTGCAATGTATCGGTGCTTCAAAACATGCCACTAGTCCAAAAGAAGCCAGATCTCACTTGATTGTAACAAAGCAGATCACACAGGCTTCTATAGTTTATGAATATCTTCTTGGAGGCTTAATCGACATCTATTTTATGAATATTGATCCCAACGGGGCTTAATAGTAAATTGAAATTCGAGGGAAAAAACAACAGAGAAATGCTTTATTTCCCTCCAACCAAAATCCGGTCTCTTTTCAACTTAAAAGAGAAAGAAAAAAGAAAAAGAGGAAGAAAAAAAAGAAGACAGGCATCCAAACCCAACTATCCAATTGAGTTAGAGACCTGAAAAATAATATTCTTAGTTTTCATTATTCCCAGACTTTCCCTGTTCACTTTTAAAATTTCTAACATGACGTCTTTGGTGAGTAAATGTCAAGATCACGAAAGCGCCTGAGCGTATTTCCACACCCAGTTTAGTGGCGGAATTTGTAGGACCCAGTAAGAGATCCCCAATTTCACTGGGGTTTCCCAATTGGCTGGGCTCAGTAACCCACCCAGCGGTCTCCGGGACTGAGCGCTACACTTAGGAGCGTCTGTGATGAGCCTTGATGGGAAATTTCTTTCTCTGACTCCTACGGTGCTTATCAGCCTGTAAGGCCACTTAGTTGGCATAATTTTATTACTTCTGTTATGCAGCATTTTCTACACTCTAGATTTTTCAAGCATCCTGAATTTGAAAAGAAATAAGAAACAGGGAAAAAATTCTTATTCAAAGTCTCCGGAGACAGCCAGGCCAGTCACAGAATCATCATTTTTTCCCCCTAAACTGGAAGCTAAAACGACACTGGATATGTTAAAATTCAAGATACTTGGTTAAAAGGCCTAAAGTAATTCTATGGAGCTTATGAATTATTAATGATATGAAAAGCCAGCTTCTGCACAAAGAGTTGAGTTATAACGCAAGTGCATTTAACGATGAAAATACATAAGAAACCAATAAAATATTTCATGAAAACAGAGGAGTATTGTTCTGATGGATGAAAAACTCTGACTGGACACATAAAATTAGGGATTAAAACTGGGAAAGGAAAGACTTGGAAGCAAAAGGGTGTACTCTCTGTGTATATACACACACGCACATAGATACACACACACACACACACATAGATACACACATATGCATGTATATACATAGGGATCTCCTAAGTGTTGCCAAATTAGATTCTACTATTTATTAGTCTAAATCAGGCCAATTTCCTCAGGCAAAGATCAGTAAATAGTATAAAAAACGAAGATGAAACCCAGATTCTGAGCACTGCAACAAACACCCCATCTTGTCCTAAGGGCTGAGAGTGCAGCTGAAATCCACACTGTGGGCATGAGGTTCGGTCTAACTGCATCACAGCTGTTCAAGGAGAAAACATTGTTTTTATTCTTATTTTTGCTTAAATTCTCCAGTTTTTCCCATCACGCCATGCCTGTATGTGGTTACCATGCGCTGTGCAGCCACCTCCTATCAGCCCTTTAAACTTCTAGGAATTTTAGATGTTGAAAACATCCCCTGTGCCGGGGATTTGACATTACATGGTTCATTAGGATCTGTTGTGGCTGGCCTGGGACACTTTTTGTTAACTAGTAGAATTAGAAGATCATGTGATGTTGGAGTAGGAGGATTTTTCTTAGTGACTTTAGGATGCTGGTTCCACTGTAGGTACAACTATGCAAAACAAAGAATCCAGGAAAGAATTGCCAGAGAAGGAATTAGAAATAAGATTTTATATGAAAGCACCCACCTTGATCCTGAAAAAAAAACAAACCAATGGCAACAGCAGCAGCTGAGCAGTCTCGGGCATGGAACACCCAAATACAACGGAAGTCTGTGTGTAAAAAGCTGAGAGCAACTACAAAAACCTACCTTTTATGTACTATAAAGCCTTCAATCAAGGGGAAAAAAAAAAAGCCCCAGTGGGCAGTTTGGTCCTAGGCTGGCAGTTACCCCAGAGGAACTGCGCGGGAGACAAACCCGACCTGCCCGTTGCCGGCACAGCCACAGCCCCATCATTTGCAGGACCGTCCTGGACGGACCCCTCGCTCTCAGGTGCTTCAGAATGAAACAGCTGTCGTGAGAAGGGGAAGGGAGGGCTTCTGTAGAAAGGTGCTCTCTCTGACCTCATCACTCCCGCCTCTCTGACAAGATTCTAGGGTCTCTTGCCCTGGGCTAGAGCTCTGGCTTCGGCCATTCCAGGGCCAGGGATAGTGAGCAAAGCCCTGATCCACCTTTTGTTTTGAGCCTTTCTGAAAAATAGTGCAATTAAGCAAACTGAATTGCAAAAACTCGACAGCTTCCACATGACCACCCGCGCTGCCAATGGACCAGAAATAGACGATTTCAGAGCTTTTGTTAGACGTCAGAGGAAGAAAGTGGATTTCCCCCCAGTAATTATTG